AACCCAGGCAAAGCCATGAGACCCTGTCCCAATAATAACTAATGCAAAAGGGCTGGGGGCATAACTCAAGTGGATTAGTATTTGCCTAGCATATGCAGGGCCCTTGAGTTCCAGAGCTGCCAAAAAAAAAAAAAATCAAGAAAAATTTTATGATTTTGGTTCTTAGATCCTTGGCCCATTTTTAGTAAATTTTTGTATATTTCTGAGGTAGGAGTCGAATTACATTTTTTGTTTGTGGAAATCCAGGATTGTGAGTTTGAGGCAAGCCTAGGCTACATAGTGAGATCCTGTCTCAGAAACAAAACCAAAACCAAAGCAATGTATTAACTATAGAAGTATGGGATTATTTCTAGACCCTCAGTTCTATTCAGTTTGTCATTACGGCAGCACTAAACTATCCTGGTAACTGTAACTTGTAGTAAGATTGAAATTACAAAGTGTGAGTTTTAATGATTTTTTTTTTTCCTCAGTGTTTGACTCTCTAGGTTCCTTTCCTTATACATTTTAGGATCAGCTTGTCAGTGTTTGCATTAAAGTAAGGTAGAATTTTGAAAAGTGATTATGTTGAATTTGTAGGTTAAATTGTTAAATAGTGCCATTTTTTCTTAAGTTTTTTACTAGCATATATTAATTTCATGAAGTAATAGGTTTCATCATGACATTTTCATGTATCTATATAATGTTTTGGTCATGCTCACTTCCATACCCTGTCCTGCTGGTTCCTTTCTTCTTCCCAATAATAGTTCCCCTTCTACTTTTCATGACTTTTTTTTTTTTCCTCCCAAATCAAATACCGCATATGAGAGAAAACAAGTGATATTTGTCTTTCTGAGATTGGCTTATTTTATTTAACATGATGGTATCCAGTTCCATTCATTTTCCTGCAAATGATAGATTTTCTTTTTTATGGCTAGTAGTCCATTGTACAGTATAACCTTAATATGTGCAGCTACATGGTTCCAAGGAGACTACTGTTTAGGAAAAATAGAAAATGCTCAGGATACATGGAGTTCAGTACTCTAAAATTACTCAAATTTACCTAGACTGTACATAAAGTAGGTCTGAACATCCATAATTTGAAACTGCATGGAGTAAGCCACATTACTGTTACAAGTACTGTGCACACATTTATACCCATTAATATTGCTCATCAAAAACTTGATCTTCATAATCTTTATTTGAATGCTGCAGATGTTTGATTCATTTTTCTATGATGTTGCCCAACTTCCACTAAAGACATGCTGCCTTTAAACAACTCTAAAATTTCCACTCAATCTTGCCATTTAATCACTTTGTGTGCCTTTTTTGGCTTGGAAGGATTTACCATAATTTTTACCTTACTTTGGGGCACTGTTTGCTTTTTCAGAAGCATGTTTTCACAAAATTAAGGGAAGGGAAACACTCAGCAGATCACACATGGTTACACAGCTGACAGTAATGCAGGACTGACCAAAAGTTTCTCCATATCAACTGAGCTGTGTAATTCACATGGGGGAATTTAAGAAGTTTTTTTTTCTTGAAATTGTTTTTGACTTTTAAATTTTATTATTTTTTTTTACCAAGAGTGATCAAAACTGTGTAAGGCGGGGTGGGAGTGGTGACTCATGTAATCCCAGGTACTTGCTACTTGGGAGATGGAGATCAGAGGATTGAGGTTCAAGGCCAGCCTGGGCAAACAGTTAGTGAGACCCTGTCTCAAGGAAACAGCTGGGCATAGTAGTGCCACGCCTGTCGTAGAAGGATTGTGATCCAGCCCAGTCAGTTCACAAGACCCTACTTGAAAAACAACTGTTAGTAAAAAGGGCTGGGGATGTGGCTCAATTGGTAGAGTGCCGTCCTAGCAAGCCCTGAGTTTAAACTTCAGTGCTACCAACAAACAAACAAACAAACAAAAATAACAAGAAAAAAAACTCCACAGGTAATAAATCTGAAAGGCTGACTTGCTGTATGTACATTATTTTTTTATCCATTCATTCATATAATTTCCGGGTTGTCTCTTTGTAGCCTTTCTGTTTCTCCATGCTTCTTAGTTGTCCTGTCACCTTTTGATTCCTGTTGTTGTTTTCTTTCTCTCCTTAGTCTGTCCTTTGTTACCCTGAGTCTTCTCATTTATTGGAGTCACATGGATGAAACTTCTAGTCCTTCATCTTACCCAGATCCCAAATAGTGCTATCTCCACATAAGTCTTACTTTTTTGTATGTTGGCAGGTGGGGAGAGGCAGCACTGGGGTTTGAACTTAGGGCCTCATGCTTACTAAGCAGATGCTCTACCACTTGAACCACTCCCCAACCCTCCACATAAATCTTTATATTTATTTAGGTCTTTCAAAAGTTTTCTTTGAGCAATGTTTTGTTTTCAGCTTACAGGTCTTTCACTCTCTTGATTACATTGACTCCTTTACATGCCAATTATAAATGGAATCTGAAAGAATATCTTTTTTGGGCTTATTTCTTGCTGGTACCTAGAGATAAAACTGAATGGCTGCTGTTATCCTACTACTTTGCTGAATTTATTAGCTTTCTTGTGGATTCTTTGAAATTTTCCATATGTGAGATAAGTCATTTGTGAGTAGAGATGATTTTACTTTTTCCTTTCAACTCATATTCCTTATATTTCTTATCTAACTATGCCATCTAGAAACTTCCAGTACTATGGTAGATAGCAGTGTTGAAAAGAAGTTTCCTTGCCTTGCTCCTGATCATAGGATAAATGCTTTCAGTCTTTTACCATTGAGCACGATGTTAGCCGTAAGTTTTTCATAAGATAAAGATAAAAAGATAAAGATAGATAACTTTCTTTCTAGTTAAAGCTTTCAGAGTGATTTTTATCATGAATTGGCCAAATTCATTGTCTGCATCATTTAAGATGTTCTTAATACTTCATTTCTAAATACTTGCTATATGTGTTTGAAGTCATCTGAATATACTTAGGATTAAGTGTTGTCATTTATATAAATATAAATATATATTATAACTTATATAAATATATTAACAGCAGTTGGAGCATTTAGCACGTAATATTTTATTTCTAAATGCACAATATAACTCAGCAGGTCAGATGTAGACCTGCTGAAAAGCTTAAACAGCAGGGAGTATGGGCTGTAGAGGGTACATGGTCGGTGTCCTTGCCCTAGTTCATGCCATTGCATTGCCCAGAAATTTTATTTTTACACATATTAAACTCTGAACTAAGTAATATACTCCTCTGGTATAATACCTATGTTCTGTTCTTCAGCAAAACCAGGCTGCTTAATTTTTAAGAGTGGGTAGAATAATGGATCCTTCAAAATGTCCACATCCTGATCCTTCGCACCTGTAAATTTAGGTTGCAAAGCAAAAGGTAATTTGCTAAATCAGTTGACTTTAAAATAGAAAAATTATTCTAGATTATCTGTATGGCCTAATCACAAAATTTTTTGTTATTGTTTGCTTTGTGTATTGGGATTTCAACTTATGCTTGCTAGGCAAACACTCTACTACTTATGTTATACTTCTAGTCCTTTTGCTTTTAGCATTTTTTTGAGATAGGGTTTGGTGTTTTTTTTCTGGGCCATCTTTGGACTGAGATGCTATCTTCACCTCCCATGTAGCTGGGATTATAGGCATTCACCACCACACCTGGCCTATTGGAAAAGGTTCTTTAAAGTAGAAGAGGGAAGCAGAAAATGAGTTGGAGGGGATGTGACACTGGAATAAAGGTGAAGAAAAATTTTGCTTTGAAGGTAGAGATGTGAGGCTAAGGGAAGACTGGGCTTTAGCAGCACACAGCACGTGGAAAGAGATTCTAATGTAGAGCCTCCAGAAGGGAATGCAGTGCTGGGAGCACACTGATTTTAGACCTATTAGACTTCCATCTACAGAAATATAAAATAATGAATTTGTGTTGACTTGTACCTTGACTTTTGTAGTAATTTGTGGCAGTATCAATAGAAAACAAATAGAAGCATATATGTATATTTTATGTTACAATTTATGATATTGGTTTATTTCTCCAGATAAACTCATGTCTAAATTTCCTTTAGGTTGTTAAAGTTGTATTAATTAATAGAAACCCATCTAAAAGCTTCCACAACCACAGAGCCTTTCATTTTTTTTCTGTCTCTCTTCCAATGTATTCTCTGCCCAAATACACATAGTTTCTCTTACTCTGTTGTTTCTTTTACCTTCATTTTGTACCTAACTATAATCCAGTTTTAGAATATAGTATTTGATATTTATTTTCCTAGAACTTCATTCTTCAAGTGTTCTACTTCCTTTATAATGAATTATATTATTTTGTATGTGTATCTAAATTTGAGTTATATAAGGTTTTTGTACTTTATTTTCTTATACATATAATTTTTAAAAAAATGTAATTGTCATCTTCCATTTTAGATTCTGGAGAGATAAGTGTGTTTTATTCAGTGCTGTCATTTCTGTTGAATAGTACTCCATATGACACAATAGGCAGTCCATATGTGTTTGAGGTAATCTGAATGTACTTGTGGATTAGATCCTATAATTTAAATTTACGAAGCAAAATATAACAACCACAGTGGTCAGTTCTTCCGACCATATATTCTAACTAACCATATCATGCTTGTCTACTTCTTTCTTATGTAAGTTTATTTCAGAAGGATGTTAGTACAGTCATGGTGTTTCTTTTTCAGCTAAGAAATATATCTTGCAGATTGGTCCAAATGAATATTTATAATATTTTAAATGTTTAATTCTTCAACTTTGAATTTGAACACAAAGAATTGTTTTCTCCTTTAATGAAAAGAAAATACGATTCTACGAATGAAGGGAACTTTGGCAGAAATGATGTACCTTTATTGCCCACCATGTTTCCTCCCACCTCAGATAGGGTCTCATGATGCAGCCCAGACTCGCCTCACACTTGAGATTCTTTTGCCTCCGCCTCCGCCTCCCCGGTGCTGGGATTACATGTGTGTTCTGTCACACTTGGCATATACATCACTTTTTAGGTATTTATGGAATGTGATACTTGTGTCTTGTAGAATGGAGATGTATGCATTTCGATTCTTCATCCACCTGTAGATGACCCACAGAGTGGAGAACTGCCCTCAGAAAGGTGGAACCCTACTCAGAATGTGAGGTAAGGTGTTGAAAAGGAATAATACTTTTTGGTGTTTTTTGTTTGTTTGTTTTTGAGATTGACTATCACTGTTGTTGCCCAGTCTGGCCTTGAACTCCTGGTTCAAGTGATCCTCCTGCTTCAGCCTCCCAAATAGCTGGGACTACAGAAGTCTGCCGCCTGAATCCTGAATAATGTACTTTTTGTGTGAGTCTTTTAAGAGTCTCGTTGTATTGTCTTTTAATCTGTGCAGAACAATCTTTCCTATGTTCGGTGGTTTTATTTTTAGCTACAGCTTTAAGAAGTATGTTTGCTTATCACTTTGAAATGTCTTACTTAGCATTAATGTGTATAATTCTCCTTTTCCTAAATTCATCATGGAAGAAATTTTTAAGTCTGAAGTCTTCCTCTTACATTAAGCCTGCTTCCTTGGATTCCATGACTTCTGTGTTTATATATTGCTAATTTATTCCTTTCCTTCCCCTTCCCCATCTTCCTCCCCTTTTTCCTTCTTTTTTCCCTCTCTTCTGTACTGGGGTTTGAACTGAGGGCCTCACGCTGGCCTAGCTTTTTACTTGAGATGGGGTCTCACCAACTTTTTGCCCCAACTGTCCTTGATCTGGGATCCTCCCAGTCTCCACCTCCCAAGTAGCTGGGATTTGCAGGTGTGAGCCACTGTGCCTGACCTATATAGCTTTTTTTTTTTTCCCCTGTGGCACTGGGTTTTGAACTCAGGACCTCACACTTGCTAGGGAGGCACTCTACCACTAAAGCCACTCCACCAGCCCTGTTTTATGTTGGGTGTTTTCGAAATAAGGCCTCAAGAACTATTTGCCTGGGCTGCCTTCAAACTGTAATCCTCTTGATCTCTGCCTCCTTAGTAGCTAGGATTATAGGAATAAGCCACTGGTGCCTGGCTTAAAATAACTTTTTAAACTATACTTCTGTATGTTTTTAAGTAAAATTTTCATCATATATTTAAATAATTTAAAAATAATTTTGTGGGCTGCGGTTATGGCTCAAGTGGTAGAGCCCCTGAGGAGCAAATTGCAAGGCCCTGAGTTCAAACCCAGAACTGCTCCCCTCCCCACTCAAATAAAAAAAAAGTTTGTGTTTGCCTCACAAGTGTGAGGCCCTAATTTAATCCTCAGCACAACAGGGGAAAAACAAAAACAAAAACAAAAAAAACACATATCCTCTTCCTCTTGGAATCAAATTTCCATGGTACTTCCCCTACTGAATTTTTTCCTAATTCTGAAATTTTTACACTTGATATAGGTAGTACATTTCTACCACAAAAATTTTTGTGTAAAGTTTTTTGTGAGTTACAGGCTATAAATGTCAAACTCTGTATCTAATTATTAACATTTATTAATATACAGTTGATTAAAAACATAGTACAATTGTGAAATTCTTTTTTTCCCCCCGATACAGGGTTTCACTATGTAGCTTGTGACATTTAGCTGAGATATTTTCTAAGCAAGATGTACAAGGTACAGTCTGGGTATTCCTTTCTTCTTGAACAGTGAAAGTGCTAAGTTAGAGAGTTGTCAGGCAGAAGGGAATAAGTACTTGATTTGGAAAATTCTCAGGCTATCCAGGAATATCTCAGGCTATTCACTGGAAACCAGAACCAAGAATGTGGCCAAGAACTTGTTAAGATTATTAGGTCTGTGATTTATGGAGTTACTCAACCATCTGACTGAAGTCAGGTATGTGGCATTATCTAGGTAGGCTCTGTACAAACCCATATGTATCAATGTTGTGGAGTCCCTTAAACATTCCCTGGAAGATCAACAAGGCTTTAGGATTTTATTGTAGTTGATACACTGTCAGCCTGGGCCACAAGGGACAGAAATGGGATGAAATGAAGGAAGAATGACTCTGTGACAGAGTCATGAATACAGAGGGCCCAGCACAAGAAGTGTTCTGCTTCTGTCTTGTTTTTACGAGACAGACACACTACTCAGGCCAAGAGTGAGTCTAAGCTACCACAGTGCACTGGTATCTAAAAGTGGTTTCATGTTCATGTATTTGGATTTCTTGTCCATAGCCACTTATAACTCAAGTCTGTTGTTCAGCACCACAGTGGCATATTCATAAAATAAAGTGCATGGAGGGCTCTTGCAGCCTGAAGAAAAGTATGAGACTTTAGTTAACTTTTTAGAACACAAGTCCATATGGATCAGAGGCCTGGTGAGTGGGGAAAGAACAGTACTCATTAGTTGGCTGTCTTGCATGAGAAGTTAGTATACTTTATGGAAGAAGAGATCCAGACAAACAGTGGGGAGGATGGTGGTGAGGGTAGTTTATGGAATTGGGAAGGTTTCTTTTTTTGTTTTTGGTTTTTGTTTTGGGCAGGACTGTTGAGATAGGGTCTCGTGAACTATTTGCCTAGGCTGGCTTTGAACTGTGATCCTCCTGATCTTTGCCTCCTAAATAGGTTAGGATTACACGTGTGAGCCACTGGTGCCCAGCTGTAATTGGGAAGTTTTAAAAAGCGTGCATTAGTCAGAAAAATAGTGAAACTGGGCATTGAAGGACCTCTGACACTGCCACATGTCTGACTAGGAGTTGGTAACGCTAAGCCTCTTCTTTGTGAAAGAAAGGAAAAAACCTACCTTAATTCTTGCTCGCTCCATAACTAAGTGGGAGCTGGAGAATCATCCTCAGACTTTGCCATAGAGTTCACAACTGCTTTCTGTGAGGTATCATCTCCAAAAGTATTTGTCATTCCTGTTATATACTCTAGGATAGGAATGTCTTGGTGGGACCAGATTGATGGATCCAGTCTAATAGCCACTGATTCATAGAAAAGGAAGTAGAATAAGCGAGTTTCCTTTCTAGTCTTTTTTTCTTTCTTTTTTTTTTTTTTTTTGGCTGGGACTGGGGTTTGAACTCAGGGCTTTGCACTTGTAAAGCAGGTGCTCTACTTCTTGAGCCACACCTGGATCATTTTGCTTTGGTTATTTTGGAGATCCAGTCTTGTGAACTATTTGCTGGAGCTGGCTTTGAAATGTGACCTTCCCCATCTCAGCCTTCCAGGTAGCTGGGATTATAGGTGTAAGCCACTGAGGCCTGGCCTTTCTAGTCTTCTTCGTTCCATTGAACGGGCAGAATGTCACGGTCTGCCCCAAACATTGGATGGCAGAGTAGTCAAGCCCAGAGGAAGAAGCTGTCCCATTCCTAGGGCTCTTTAAAACCTCACTCTGAGCTAGTTGATTTTATTTTCTCCCTTGATTTTCTTGAGTTCAGGTAACCTCAACCTGCCATTTTCTTTCTGTACAAGTAATACTTTATGCACTTGAATTTTTTACTTTTTAAGCTAAAAATGTATCAGTTATCAGCAGTTCCAGCACAGCACAGCAGGAACTGTTCAATTTCTTACTTGCTTTAGCAGCATAAAGAAAAGCTGCTTGTAATATGTGAACCAATTAAGCTACTATATTTTACCATTAGCCACCCTGTTTTCTCAATCACAACTTTGTCCTGATAGTCTCTTTAAATCTCTTCCATGTTGGAACATGTAATGAGGGCAGAGTTTTAACTGGGGAAGAGTGGAAATAAGAGATTAAATGGACCCAGGGCAATTAGAAGGATCAGGGTAGAATACAAAGTAAGTTGCAAGTGGCATCACAGTATGTGGGATTTACATTTGTTGCAAGAGAGCTGGGCTTCACTTATCCTCACATTAGCCTTCACCAAATTCTAGGCCTATGAAATCCAAAGTCTAAATCTCTGCGTGTGTGTGTGTCTGTGTGGGAAGAGTAAGGTTAGCTTAGGTTTTTAAGAATGAGTCCTCTCTAACTGCTCACATGTTGCCTGGAGGAATATATGTATACACTGGGAGAAAAATGTCAGTCTTTCATTCTGCAAAATTCTTAATTTTTCTGGCAAATTAAGATGGTAAGACCTCAACTGCTTCCCAACTGCTCATAGAAAGGGGGTGACCACTTAATTGGTTTTCTGCCTCCCTGAAAGAAAATTAGGTTTTTGCCACTGATTGAGCCTTTTGAAACACCTCACCCTTTTCTGGAAGTTGCTGTCTCTAACTTTTTATCAGTATCAATCTGTGTTCAGGGGAAAAAAAAAACTTTGATTAGTCTATGTACAAAACTTTAAAATCTACATTATTTTTAGACTTTGCTTCTTTGTGCTTGGGTGCATCATCCTGGCCACCCCAAGTGGTTGTGAGAGTTCTCTGCAGTCTGTGGGCTGGTAGTATGCTGATATTGCAGAGTTTCCTACCTAATTTTCATTTGGTGAGATTTCTCTTAGATGTACAAGTTTCAGCTTATTTATTGGCTTAAAAAATACTCCTTTGGTATGGTCCCTTTGGGGCTGTTTGGGAGAAAGAGAAACCAACAATGTAATTTTTTATATTAAACTGAATGTTGACTGTATTTTTTTCCTGAAATATTCGAACAGTGTTTATTTTTACTTTTTTAATTATATTATTGTTGTACAACTTTACAGAAGATCTTACAATAAATGAGCATGATGGAGGGGGCAAATAGAACTTAGAACCTCACACTTGCTAGGCAGGCACTCTACCACTTCAGCTGTGCCTCCAGTCCTTTTTGCTTTACTTATTTTTCAGATAGGCTTTCAAAATTTTGCTCAGACCAGCCTGGACTACTATCTTCCTACCTATGCCTCCCCCATAGCTGGTATCATAGGAGTGCACCAACACATCCAACTTACTTGTTGAGATGGATGTTTGCTAACTTTTTGCCTGAGAGGGCCATGAAGTGCAGTTCTCCCTGATATCTGCCTCCTGAGTAGCTGTGCCCAGCCTTATTTTTCACACATGCCTGAGATCTGTAGAATGTCACAACTTTCTGGTTTGCTATTTGCTAGCCTCTCTCTGTGTGTATGTGTATTCACAACCCCTTTGTATAATACTTTGTCATTATCTTGTTTTTCTAACAGGTTTTATGTATGTCTTCTGAAGAAAGCTTTGTATGACCTTTTACTCACATTTTCTTTCCCTTATAGGATGTTAAGTGAGTCCATTTCCCATTATTAGCAGTGATGAATTTCTTTGCATCTCTTTGATGTAATTACTGAAGAAATCAAGAAAACTCTTGGGGGAAGGGTGCAAAGAAGTTTTCTTAACCTACTAAGAAGGGTGTGTGTGACAAATGGATTTTAACTAGAGGGGGAAAGTTTTCCTTGAAAGTATCTTTGCCATAATCCTGAGTAATCACATAACAGACTCTTAACCTGTTAGGAAAAGGTTTCATCAATCAAGCCTCTACTTTTAATTTTTGCCTGGGGCCAGGAGCAAAAGACTGTCTTACAACAGTTAATGAGAAAAGGTAGAGACATGCTTGTTCTTCTCATTTTTCTCCTGACATTCGTGCACAAAACTTTTAGGGGAAAAAAATCTAGGAATAATTTGGAACATTTTGGAGCTTATCATGCATCTTTGGTTATTTAACTAGCAGGAACTTTAATCCCTGTGATTAAATGAAACATTGAATTCTCATCTATGGGTAAAATTTGCCCGTGTGCACAGGGATGGAATCCAGCTTGCTCACTGTTGTACATAGGACATTTTACCTGGTGCCTTTGGCAGACAGTGCATACTTGGTAAATATTTCTAATAAAGATTTTGGTTACTCAGGCTAGTTCTTCCATATCAAGGCTTTGCTTTCCCTCTATTCTCTTTCTTTACAAGTATGACATATGTAATACTGTTTTTCAAATCTTTTAAATGGCTACAATAAAAACTGGATGTATAAAATAGTATCTTATCCTCTCCCATAGGGAAAAAATGCCTTAAGGTTAAATATTTTATACTTCTCCTACTCCTTACTTGAAAACTTCCAGATGTCCACTTCTTTGCAAGATGGAACATACAGCCGGTTGAGACTCTGCAGAGTTCATTTTATGCCCTGCAATATGACCTTTTTGCTATATTGTCTGCCTTGCCCCCTGTTAGCAGCTTGTTTTCTTTTGTTTGAGACAGGGTTTCACTTTATAGCCAAGGCTGGCCTCAAACTCATGGTTCTCCTGCCTCACCTTCCTGAGTTCTGGTATTGCAGATATGTACCAACACCCTGTTATTTAGCCTAGCCAGCTGAGTACTAAAAACAAAATTTTATGATGGTCCTTTTCTCTAAAGGCTCAAAATATAACCTCAAATTGTATCAGAAAAATTTTAAGGGAAGGAAAACTTAAAATCTAATTGTAATAACTCTGATGAACATTGGTATTGCAACTGACCCCTTTTTTCTGTTTTCAGGACTATCCTGTTAAGTGTAATCTCACTGCTTAATGAGCCCAACACCTTCTCCCCAGCCAATGTGGATGCTTCGGTTATGTTTAGGAAATGGAGGGACAGCAAAGGAAAAGACAAAGAATATGCTGAAATCATTAGGTAAGGTATTTAGTTTGTTCTACTACTTTAAGTCTTATAAACCCAAAATGTATTCTGGAACTAAGAGTTTAAATCAAACTTAAATATCCTTTCTAGTTCAGGGTAATTTTTCTCAACTAGATTTATAGTATGGAAAGGGAAGATTTCTTCCCTTTGAACTTGGCTATTAAGACAGTACCCACTAGAAGACAGTGCTGCAGTAGATCCAGTTTCCTAGAAGCCAGAGAGATTCGTTTTTTTTGGGGTGGCACTGGGGTTTGAACTGTACTTTGTGCTTTGTGGCACTCAGCCACAACTCCAGTTCATTTTGCTCTGGTTATTTTGGAGATAAGGGTCTCATAAACTATTCGCCCTTACTGGCCTCAAACTGCAGTCCTCCTAATCGCATTCTCCAAAGTAGCTAGGATTACGAGGTGTGAGCCACTGGCTCTCCCACATTGTTTTGAGACTGGGTAACCCATTGTTACCTAAGTCTCCTGAATACTGGGACCACAGGGATGTACCACCATACCTGGCTCAACATTCAGCTTCTTAACTAGTGAAATTAGCAGGCTCTGTTTCATAGCCATTTTGGAGGCCTTCTTTTGGACTTTCAACATGTTCATTAAATGTAACAAGCTTATCTAAGATATTCTAGACCTACCAAATATATGAAAGACAGTAATTTGTTTTCAGTGTTTTAATTAATGAAGCTCTATAGTTTACTGGCATTTTTGGCCATAGTAGCTAGTATCCACTGGGCATCCTCATTGTTAACACTAATACATAGTATAACTGAGACCTAGAATAAGAACTAGAAGACTGGAATCTACTGCTGGCTTTGCCTCATCTCATGTGATCAATTATCAGCTAACTTGGGTCTTTAGTTCTTCCTTCTGTATAAAAGTACAACATAGAAGGTATCCGGGTCAAACTTCCCTTTGTTAGTCCACACCTTAGTAAGACATAGGTGTACATAATAGTACCCAAGAATTTTGCAAAAATTTTAGCTCCCCTTAATACCTTAAAATAGATCCCCCAAATACAGTTCCAACTTGATCTGTGCATGCATTCAGTTACCACTCTCATAGATTTATAAATCTAGTTGTCATGATACCATGCCAGATGAAAACAAAAAAGTACTAATAAATCACATTATGTGACTGCTGAATATAAATCAGCCGTTGTTTTCTGTCCATTAGACCCTTCCTGAACCATAGCTATTTAGTGAGAGAACAAGGATAGTCTAGGTATCTGCACATACTGGGTTTTTGTATTGAATCATCCGTTACTACAGTGGTTGATACATACCAAAGATTGATAGTTATTAGTACAGACAGTAAGGACCTATAGGAATTTAAAGGAGCAGGACTGTACTGAGATGAAAGATGGGAATGCTTCACAGAACAGCATTGGAGCATTGTTTAAGGAAAGGTGGGATTCAGTAAACAAAGAATGCATGCAGGAGTATTCCCAAGGTACTTCTTTATATTTCTTAATTTGTCTTAAGGGACTATTTGTATAATTGTTGATTTTTTTTTTTCCCCAACAATTATGTACCAGGTTTGTGTCAGGTACTTTGCTAGGTCATTAAGGCAGGCCTTTCTCCTTAGGAATCTCACACCTGGCAAGCATTTATAAATAAACGACCATGTAATATGGTAAGTGCAACTGTAGAAGCCAAAATAAGATACACTGGAGAACAGATAATGGAGTTCTAATGAAAGATAATTCTTGATAACAAGGATTTTTCAGATAAGGAAAAAGCCTCTATAAAAAAGAAGCATGTTTACCAAAATACAGGTGTATGATATGGCATGTCAAGTGCATTATAATTTTATTTCAATAAACTTAAGCAACAGAGGCACTAGGTCTCAAGAGACAGGGAATCACAATAAGATTTTTTTGTTTATTTTTTGTTTAGACGGGATTTGAACTCAGAGCTTCGTACTTACAAACCAGGCGCCCTACTGCGTGGGCCTCACCTCCAGTCCATTTTGTTCTGATTATTTTTGGAGACAGGGGTCTCAGGAACTATGTGCCCAAGATGGTTTCAACCCAAGATCCTTCTGCTCTCAGCCTTGCAAGTAGTTAGAATTACAGGCGTGAGTCACTGCTGCCCAGGAAGAGAGAATGGTTCTAGATTTTGGAGATGATGGGGTGTCACTTTGGAATTTTAGAGAGGGAGTAGATGATCTTATTTGCAATCTAGAAGAACTCAGTTGACCAGAGAACCAGCATGGATTGAACCGAGGAAGTAATGGCAACTGGAATGAAATGCAGATTTGAAGTATTTAAAATATAAAGAAACAGGACTTTGAAGCAGAGCATGGTGTGCTCCTGAGATCCCAGCACTTGGTAGGCTGAGGCAAGAGTATGAGGCTAGCTTGGGCTACATAGTGAGACAAAACAAAAAAGAGGGCTGGAGGTGTGGCTCAAGCAGTAGAGTGCCTGTCCTCACATGCTTGAGGCTCTGAGTTCAATCCCTAGTACCACGAAAACAAACCTTTGGAGTAAGATTTACATTTTAGGAACCAGTACTTTTTCAGTGAGAGAAGAAAAACAAAGAGAAATTGGCCACAGAGGTAGAAAATAACAAAGTTTTGCTGAGTTAGTTAATATCAGCAGCCTGGAGACATCAAAAGGCATTTGGCTTTTCAAAGTATCTAGAGTTCAGAAGAAAGTATGGGAGGAAGTCTTATGACTTGTGAATTGTCAGTATAAATGGAGAGGTGAATAAAATCTTGGGAACCAATGAGATGTCTTAGGGAGAATGCTGAGATTGAAGCCTAGAAACCCAGTGTGCAAGGCATGGCAACATATTGAAGGCTTCAAGAGTAACTTAAAGTGCTCTGACTGGAAAGGATATAGTGAAGATCAGGCTTCCCAACCACTTTTCCTCTCCAATTTTGATGACTCAAGTTTTTGTATTAGGTAGTGGTGCTATTACTGAAGGATGATGTGAGTGAGCAGATGGCTACCTTAAATTGGGTTCTCTCTGGAGCTGGGTGTGTAGGTCAGTGGTGGAGGGAGGCAAGTAGATAGGGAAAGAACTGGTCCAGACAGAAAAGTCAAGTAAGTGTGGTCCAGGTACTAATAAAAGGGCTGGGGCTGTAGCTCAGTGATACAACATTTGTCAGGAGTAAGCTCTGGATTCCATCCCCAGCTTGCACTCACCCAAAGTGCCAAAACAAAACAAAAAACGTGTGTGGCCTGTATGTGTTGTTGGTATTGGAGAAAGCAGTGGGCTGTGAGAACCAAAGAATGGATTGTATAAGACTCTGGAATGCAGCATGAAGTATTCAGATCTTACTTTCAATGTAAAACTGTGAGATTGGTGGTAAGAAAGAACCAAAAAATTGGTTGATTTGTGGCTAACATTTGATAGCCACTACTTTAAATGTTTTCTCTCCAAAAGGTCATTGTTAAGCTTCCTCCAAAATGGTACCTGATGGGTTGAAAGCCTTAGGTATAGTACAGAATATCTGTCAGATGCTTTTAGGCAGGTGCCAAGATAGCAGAGCGATAAGGAATCTTAAGGCCAATTATTAAATCCATCTACAAAACAGATGTTTACCATAAACCATTTTTGTGTCATCCTCCCGTCAGGAAACAGGTTTCAGCCACTAAGGCCGAAGCAGAAAAAGATGGAGTAAAGGTCCCCACTACCCTGGCGGAATACTGCATCAAAACTAAAGTGCCTTCCAATGACAACAGCTCAGATTTGCTTTATGACGACTTGTACGACGACGATATTGATGATGAAGATGAGGAGGAAGAAGATGCCGACTGTTATGATGATGATGATTCTGGGAATGAGGAGTCGTGACGGGCTCCTTTACTGCCCCTGTAACTGCCCTGCCGTCTCAGGCCAAAGGGAGGGGAGCAAGTGGGGACCTAGCAGTGGCCCCTCAGCAAAAACTTATTCACAGGGGGTGGGGAAAACAAACACAGCTCCTGCTGGCTCCCCTTATGGATCTCAGTTTGCTCCTTTTTATGGACCTTTAATGGAGAGAAAGTAATCCTCCACAGAATGTCTGAATTCTTGCATTCTTTACCCTTCCATCACTGTATTGATTTTTTTTTTTTCTTCAAAAACCACCATCACCCAAACTCCTGCCTCACTTCATCTCTACAGAATGTTCACAGCAAAACACATTTGGTCTGTTTTTTAGATTCCTAAAGAATTAAATAGTCAAGACATTTAATGTGTTTAAAGCTGGGAACCTGTAGGGAGTTCACAAGTGCTGCATATATTGGGTAGCAAAAGGAAATGGGGGGGAAAAAAAACAAAAAAACCCACAAACCCACAAAAAAATTGCCAAGGTTTAGCTGCTTATTCACATTAGTGTGTGTGCATTTGTTCAGACCCATGGTGGTGACTTTTGTTTCTTTCCCTTCCTAAGGCTGGGAATCGGGGGGCATCAGGGACTGACTTCATGCTAAGCTTGATAAAGTGTGCTTCTTCTGCCTCTATGAAATCATCTAACATGGAGGCCTCAGCTACTCTGAGGAGAGATCAGATTTTGTTTTTTTTGAAATCGATTGGGATCTAAAGCCTAAAATAAATATTCATACTTTACATATAACTGAGCACTTGGTTGCTATTTATTTTAAAGGCAGGGTTGTTTTTTTTTCCCACCAAGGAGTGGGGCAAGTGGGGGAAATGGAAATTGTGTGAATTTTTAGTGACCAGAACAGAGTTAAAAATCACACCAGTTTTGATTGATGCTACTGAAGGGGGGAAAAAAAAGTCAAAAGTACTGGTGGCCACTGTTGGAAGAGGAAACATCGTTTTATGTATTTAACTTGGCCTTCCCCTCAAAGATACACTCTCACCATGAGGTTTTTTGTTTTGGTTTAATTTAATTAGCCACTTTTAATTACTCAGTATTAATCCTAGGTGCATGTGTTAAGATTTTTGGTTTTCATTGAGCTGCTTATACTAATAATGATAAATGTGGAAGTGTGTGACATGAGTGACTGGTTCTTGCTTTCTTCATTGGATGTGATCTGGACTCTTTTTCTCATTTCAATGTACAATGTATGGAGTACAAGCAGAAACTGTGCATGGCACTTCCCACAGGCTTGCCTCTTCCGGCACAGGCAAGACGAGATTTTTCAGCCATGCAATTGTAGCTTTGTATTCCCAGATCTCAATTGTGTGTTGCTTTACTCAAGATTGAGATCCAGCAGCCTTCACCATCCAGGGACTTCTGATTTTGAAAGTGACTTTTATTACTGGGGTGTGTGAGTTCTTAGTGTTCTTTGAGTGGGGAAAATCAGATTTCAGAAGGAAAATACAGCAGGGACTGACTACAGTCGTAAATAAGATCTTTGTGCACCACTGTCATCTTTTTTCTTCAGATCATAGCTCAGAAAGAACCAAAGGGCAGATTAGGGACAAGGGTAGGACAGATCCTAGGATGTCCAGAGTAGGTGATTCTTACTTCCTTTAGCTCCTCCTTCCTTTCTGATCTCAGGGTTTTCATTCACTCTTCAAACTCCCATTTGCTATTTCCGAACAGCCTTCTCAAAAGTTTGGTCTTTTATTAAATGGGAATGTGTAACATGTTAAGTTCTTATGCGATACTGTGGAGCCTGGTCCCAGACTCTCTGTGTAATCTCCCCAGGACCAGGGCTGCTATTTGCACCCTAGACTCCAGTGATGTCACATTTAGGGAGCAGAGCAGCTGTGTATGACAGAATGTAAGTAAGTGTCTGAGTTCACATTCTCATCAGAAGGATGCTGGAACTGGCTTGTTGCTCCCCACACGCTTGAGTAACACTTCCAGATAGTCTGCAAACCCAGAGCCAAAGCCTCTCACAACGCTCTCCGACTTACTGCCCCATCTCTAGCATCGCACTCTCCACAAGTTTACAGCCAGTAGCTTGTTCTCACTGCTTGGAACCCTGAAGCTAAACCTTTCATTCCCCTTACTGCTAAAGCATCTCGATCCCAGGGCAGGCTACACACCTAAGCATTTTGGGAGGTGCTGTGCTATTCAGCTCTGTCCCATTAGATCCTGTTGGCCTGTGTTGCATGTTGACTCAGGGAGCCAGAGAGCTAAGCGGAGGTCGTACCTCTCAGCCCCTCTTGGTGTTACTTTTGTAGGCTTGGTTGCCTCTGGTGAGAGTACAATCAGTTCCAGAAGACTGGGGTATGTTGACCTGTTGGCGCTGGTAGACATTCTGGTAGTTAGACTGACTTCTAAAACCCAAATGCTGGTTCCAAACCTTCTATCCCTGAGAACATATCCTGTGGAAAGATACTTGAGTATGTAAGTAAGTTTTTTTCTTTTTGGGAGTGGATGGGGGTCTTAGACTCACACCAGAACCTTGGGAGTTGAACTGATTATTTGGTGTGAAATGAGCTCAAAAATCCTGCATTTTTAGATTCCTTTTGACTCTAATTGAGGCCTCACCACTGAATGCTCTTCAGTTCTATGTATTTTGAGGCTGAGTGGAGAATAAGATCATGATTCTGTTGCTTCTCTCAAAGTTCCCCCCCCCCCTTTTTTCTTACCATTCCAGAGTTCTTTTCTACTAGTCAGACTTTTTTTGTAGTCCTTTCTTTCTCCTTCCCTAGCAATTAGTTGCTTCTTTACTTGCTGGTTTCCTTTGGGCATATCTAGTATTGGAAGGGAATAATGTATAGTTTTCTCCTGAAAATTAACTCCCCACCCCTCCCATCCTGATTTAAAAAAAAAAAGGTTTACATTTACAACTAAAGATTCAGATGCAATTTTCAACTATTCTGAAACCAGCAGGACACACCTGACTTTTAATAGTTTTCTTAGATGAAATTGTAGATGTTTTTCTTCAGTTTAACTTATGAGAAAAGATTACCTGATGCATTTTGTGTTTACTTCCCCATTAGTGGTTTATTTTGTCTTTTTCTGCCCATCTGTCTACTAATAAAATGTGAAATAAAATATATCTGTATTGCTACTTCCCCATGGAATGACCCTCTTCTTTTTTTCCTTGTGTCAAAACTAAAAGGTGGTCTCAACATTTTCATTGTTACCTTGATTTTGCCCAGGACTCAGCTGAAAAATTAAAACCACCATCAGAACTGGCTGATCTGCCCTTATGACACCCCATCCAACTTACCTTCCAAGAATATAACCGTACCTGATGCATCTAAGCGTTTAAGGAAGACATGGTCATTTACTAAACTTGATTCTGAAACAAGGCGGTCTTTTCAAGGATGGAGGGGTACACTGCTGCTTTTCCTACGTAAACGTTTACATTGTCATCAGTATTCCCAACTTTCTGATGCCGATAGCAGGAATCAAGGAAAAGTACCTGTTAAGTTTTACATACTTGCCATCTCCATTGGTGCCGACTCTAGAAACCCAAAGAAGAAAAGGTAAAGAAAAACTAGCCCTTGGCTGATGGCTGTGACACAATGAGTTGACCAATACTCGAACATTCTTAATCCGAAACCTGATACTCAGTACTTCTGATACAGGCTTGACTTGAAGTAGCATTCATTTTGCTTATTAGCCTTGTCTGAAACAGTGATTAAGGACTGAAATTAGAGGCTGTAACACCTGGACAGCACATTTTTAGACCATAGACTGTTAGCCCCTGTCAATCAAGACTTTGGTTGATGAAAAAGCAAAGCATACCTGTTCATACAGTCTCTCAGGCCTTAAGCCCTGTGCTCACTTCTTGGCTTTACCCCACATTTTAAAGAAATTACCTTGCTCTGGCCATTCCTGTTGACAGGGCCTCGTAAGACTCCCTTATTCCTAAATCTATTAAGGGGTTATGAGAAAGCCCACATTGACTTTCATAAATATGACTTGGGTCCTGAAGAACATTGGCTATCTTTTCAGGCATATCATCTGGGCCAACAGGAGGTCTGGCAAAGGAGGAACTACCAACTCATGCCCCACGGTCTCTTATCAAAAGATTGTGGCCCTGTGAGGTTTTCTTTGTTCCTTTCAAGTCCAGGATGCCTCTCCCAGGGCCACCCCTCAAGCACACCACACAGAGACCATGTATGCTCTCAGAACTTTATTAGGTGTTGGGCAAGAGGAAACCCCTGAAACAGTTGCCCACCTGGTACAGGACAACTGGCATAGCGGAGCTTTTGCTTGGAGATGGGTGTTCACTGAAGTAGAAGCAGATCTTTGATTTTTTAAAGGGGAGCTGACTGGCTGAACATCTGAGACCCAGTTCAGATTCTTTTAAGGCCCAGAAAAAGGCAACAGGACCAGACCAGAAAGAGAAGTCCCTGCTCTCTGTGCAAACAGAGACCCAGTTTATGTTGGGCAGGAGATTATCTCTGCTATTCCCAGATCAAGATTTGGTGGAAGGAGGGCTGTGACAAATGACAATAGGAACAGGTTCTCAAAAACAGAGGTATAAAGTAATTACAGCGGGGAGAAAACTCACATAATGGTTCACAAGGGAGTGAGATAAATCGTGATTCTTCATTGGTACCTGACCCCAATACCCAAACTGCCTTGAACCAGTCCTTCAGTGGCTGCCCTTAGCAGCCCACTGAGCAGAGGGCCGAGTGGAAGGCCTAAGGGCAGAAGGGTTATGGGGGCCTTACTTGGCTATAGTGAGAAGGGGTCTGGATGGGGAGAGCAGACTTGACTGCCACCTGCAGCCACACCCCCTACTCCCCTAGGCTTCTATCACATTTACAAATACATACATAAATACATTACATACAATAGTGGGTCTGGGAGGCAGGCTCCCCACAGAGGCTCAGCTGACAAAATCACCTGTCTCAGAATTCTAGGAAAGGGCACTGGACTCCCAGAAATGTGCTCCATGTGCTCTGTCCTGTCCAGGGTAAGTCCTGCCCCAGAGCCCACCCTCTCTCTGGGGTCTAGTTTGTCCAGTATGGAGAGTTGCCATAGGTAGGTTTGGAGGCTTGAGACTTGGGTTGCAGGGAGCTGGGCTGGCTGCGCTGACCCGAGCCACTCTGAGGGAGAGAAGGAGAAAAGACTGTAAGGGCTGTCTGTAGTAGAACCCCAGCCCAGGCAGGGAAGCCACCTCCATCTCTCACTTACCTGGGCATCCTGTGGAAGGTGGTGGTGCAGCAGCTGTGAGTGAGGCTGCTGGTGGGCTGGCAGGATGTGTAGGAATGGTGGGGGTGCATAGCCAGGGGCTGCTCCAGGGGCCAGGGGCCCAGTGGAACCCAAGGCTGAAGGTAGGCTGAAAGGTGGAGGTGTTCCTGCATGAAATCCCTGCTTGTCAAAAGTCTGCCAGGCAAAGATAAAGGTGAGGGTCAGACTGAGCTGTACGTCCTACCAACCGACCTGCCCTTCTTTGTCCACCCTTACCTGTGTCTTGTTATACACAGAACCAGCCATATCAGGTAGGCCAGTGGTACTTGAAGACACCGATACCCCTAGGAGGAAAAACAATTCTTCCCTCAGCACTGGGTCCCAGATCAAAGGACACTGTGGAATAGCGCTGCCTGACAGAGTGTCAGGTCCTCCAGGCTTTTATCCTGAGGAGGAGGCATAAACACTACCTTTGCCTGGTCCAGAGCCAGCTGACTTGTTTGGCGCCTGTGATGATCCACCATAACCACCCTTAGTGTAGTCTCCTGCCGCTGTCCCCTGGGTCAAGTCATCATAACCTAGAATGGCAGGGTAGAAGATGCATGGGTAAGCTAAGTAAGCCTATCCTGTCACGTGTCTCTCTGCTGGGTGCATCCCTTACCTGTACTATAGTTGTGTTGACCATAACTAGCCTGCTGGAAAGGATTGGGAGGGGTGCTGAGGTTTACACTGTGCTGTTTCGCTGAGGCTGGTGGGACCTGGTGGGGCAGGCAGGTAAAGTATTAGTGTAAGAAAGTCAAGGTAGAGAACTTTTGAGCCTCAGCCATCAGGTGACATAGAACCAGAGAGGATCTGTATTTTCATTAAATGCAAACATCTGAAGGCAGAAGGAGAATGTAACCTCACCTACAGCCTGAATAACTCCTGAAGGCCAGATAAAACTTCAAGTGGGTATGACACTCCCCACACTCCCCACTTCTAATGGAGTATAGGTCCCAGGTTTCAACTGGCCAGGGTGAGGAACTGCATCCTCCGGGAAATACTCACGAACATAGGAGGCCCATACTGGAAGGCACTAGGCACGCCCGTGTAGTAGGGAAGGCCAGTGTAGCTATAGCCAGGTGGCAGCGTGGGATTCAAAAATGGCTGCTGGGCTGTGTGGTGGGCCTGGGATTGGCTCTGTGCTGGTTGAGCTGGTGCAGAGGGAGGTGCAGGGGATGCAGAGTCACCTCGGCCAAACTTTGTGATGTCACCTAGAAGAGAAACACTACCTGTACAACCAGGAGAAAAGCCAGACTGGCTTCAGAAAACAGGAAATGGTCTGGCTGCCAGCTTTAAGACTGGGCAGTTCAAAAGGCCTCTTATCACTTCTGTGTCTGCCTTCCAGCCTCCTAGGGTTAGCACCAGGCCAACCCATAACCTCCCACTATCACCCACTGAGCCAACTAACCTGAATATGGATTATTAGTGAGGCTCCCATCTCGGCTGGCAAGTGCTGTGGGTGCAGCAAACGGAATTCCGTAGTAATCCTAGGATGGATCAGGGAGGCTAATTGGGCAAGTGGTCTCACCCCACTCCAGGAGAGCGAACCCAGCAAGCAGGACAAGCACTGGGCACCATAGGTGTTCCATACTCCTGAAACAGGCTGCTCATCTCACAGGCAGAATTGACAACTAACTGCAAATCAAGGGTGCCCATGGAAGTATGCAGCTCAAGGGGCCCGCTTTACTGTCTGGCATGCCAAGACTGGCCATCCCTGCAGCTCATGCCACACAGAGCTATCGGGAGGCCCTATCTTCTAGCTACTATACATATCTACTGTATGCCAGGCAGGTGGCCTGATGAATACCACAGGCTGAACCACCTTTACTGGCTTTTCCTGTGTCAGAGACTCTAAAGACAGCCAGGCAAGTTGATAAAAATAGAACCAACCTGGAAAATCAGTCAGTAGGAGAGGAAGAGCCTAGAAGATTTAAAGTGGGACAGGGAATAGTACCAGGTAGGTACAGTCCCTCAACTAGCCTCTTCATACCCAGTCTGCCCTGACAACACTGACACTGCAGAAGACCAAGGGCAAGAATAACAGACACCAGTGTGGAGACAGGGGGCAAAATATGGTGGAGCTCTGTGGACAAGAGAGCCATGTCCTGGCCCTTACTCACCATGCAGAACTCAAGACAGACCTGGACAGACCTAGACACAATCCCTTAGGCTGCTCTAGCTCTGAGGGCACAAGCAGACAAAATGTGAATGGCACTCACATCTGCTGCCAATGTCTCTAGGTAATCTCCAGGATACCCACAGAATTCCCAACCTAGAACCCCAGGAGGTGGAAGGATCAGGTGAACTGTGTGGAGCTCATAGGAACACAACTGGAGACAGATCTAGAGAAAGCCCAGAAGGGGGTACCCTTTCACAGAAGATGAAATCCAAAGGCAGGAATCAGGCACAAAAATAGCAAAGACTAAAAATGACCCAAGAGAAAATTAAAAGCTATATATTTCAAATGTGGACACACTTAAGAAAAAGTAAAAGGAGTCCCATCTGAGAGTGGAGAACCAAGGAGCCTCAATGGTAGGCTGAACCCCCTGCAGGCACCTCACTTGCATTGCATGGCTGCTGCCCAGGGGCTCTAGGAAGACTTTCCGCTGCAAAGTCTTCTAGGAGGACCCACAGGCCTGCAGTCAGCCTTTGTCACTGAAGGGGATTCCAAGCAGGTAGAGAAATGGTTCTTTTCTGAAAGGCAGAAGTGGTACTTGCAACTCCATAGCTCTCAGTAGCTATGAGCAGACTTCCTTAGAGTAGACCTCTAAGGAAGGGCAGGTAGCACCTCACTGGGAGAAAGCCCCTTTCTCTGGAAACTGGAAAGACTACATCCTGTGGTCTAACAGTCTCCAACATATGTCCTGGAAAACAGACTGAGAACTAGCTTACTCAGAAGGAAATCCTGCCAATTTGCAGGCAGAAACCAGGCTTGTTCTACCACTTTCCCCTCTCTTCTTATGACTGTGGCTTTCCCAGATAAGGCATGTGCTTCATGCCCATACCCAGGGGGCCAGAATAAAGAGGCAACCCAGCTTGAGAGGGAGGCAGCAACAAAAACCAGAGTTAGCCCAAGGTGGGCATTCTTGCAATTAAGGATGTAGCCAGATCCAAGAGACACCTTAAAGACAGCCATCACCAAGTACTCACTCATCTGGGGACAGAAGTATACTAACAGCACACTGGTCACTATAGTGCTATTAGTGCTTTGAGGGAAAGACCTTATAAAACACCAGGACCAAAGATGAAACAGTTTCTATGTAACCAAGTTGGCCTTAAACTCACAATCCTCCTGCCTCAGACTCTCAAGTGCTAGATTTACAGGTGTGCACCACACCTTTCTTGCTTTTCTTTTTTTCTTTAAAAAAAGTGAGGGAAAAGGAGGAGCTATATTTATTAAGGGGCATGGCATACTAGGGTTCTAGGTCTCAAAGGCCCTCAAGTTCTTCAAAGACAAGCACTGTACACTCATCTGCCAAACTCAGGGCCATTAGAACAGCTTTTTAAGAAGTTGTGTTGAGGGAGTTCCACAGTCAAGGATCCTGAGGGCCAAGTGGGGTGGTAGTCAAGGCCAAGAGAGGAAGGACCCCGTAAGAAGAGGATCACCACTGCCTCACCAGGCCACTCACCATGGGCAGCCGTGACTGCAGCATCTGGAGCTCGTCATACCCATAGATCTGTATAAAAAACAAAACGGGCATGTTAGGGACCACACACCATCCTCTGTGAAGCCCAGGTCCACCTAGGGGCCAAAAGACAGAAATGGGACTTGGATGAGCTGCTATGGGATGAATTCTGCCTAGATGGAGTCTAGATGGAGGAAGACACATCAGGAATTAAGGGGCAGAGACAATAAGGCACGAGCAGCCCAAGGCAGGCACCTGTAGCCCCAGCCCAGGACCCCCCTCACTAGGTACAGACAGGAGACAGTCCCTGAGGCCAAGAGGGGTGGGGCTGGCCAGGAGTTCCACCATGCACTCACCGGGTATGCAGGAAGAAGACCTCCAGGGCCCACGAGGTACTGGTTGTGCAGCAGGGGAGGTACCCCCGGAGGCAGGTTTGGGGGTGCTTTGCCTGTAAAAGGAAACACCACATGTGTAAGATTCCTTAGCTTTGGGAAGAGGCAGAGATCTATGAGATCACTGCTGGCTGCAGTGCACCCCAGATGGACCCTTGGTCACAAAGGCAGGGCAGCAGCTGACAGACACAGTCATGCTAAGAAGTGACTTGGGGAAAGACAGAAAACAGAAAGCACATGCCATCACATTCAGAATGTCTCAATGTCAAAGGGTTCTGGGTCCAGAGAAAAACATGCTCTTGCCACCCAATCAAAAAGGACACAATGAACCGAGCAAACATGAACATGAAACAAACAGCAACTTCACAACAGGAGAAGGAGGCTCTACAGGGACAGGAGACATAGGCTGAGGCAAAGGTGTGTTCTAGGGGTTTCTAAAGTCTGATTGACTCACTAAAACAGCCTAGGTCTGGCTGACAAGGCAATCAGTCACTTAAAATGGCCAGGAGAAGCCCACGATAGTTCATTTCTGACCCCTTCAAGTCATTGTGTCAACTTAGCTCCAGGGATGAACAATGACAAAAAAATCTAAGGAACTAGAAGCATAAAGGTTGCCAGGAAGCCTTGCCCCCATCAGTCAGGGCCAGAATGAGCATGTGATCTTCTGGAGTTTACGTTTACCCCCTATGCCCTGACATAGTGGGAACCCTTGCTGTGAAGCCAAGTTTGTACCTTTGAGGGGGCAAGAAAGGCCCCTGGGGCACATACCTGAGGTCACCAAGGGTGTGGCCCTGGTACTGCTGCTGGGTGCACTCACAGTGGTCCCACCAAGGCAGAGGCTGCTCACAGTGCTCATGCTCCCAGGCAGACTGACACCCGAGGATGGGACATTCGAGGCAGAGCTTGCTGCCGCTGAGAAGGTGGCCGAAGACTGGTGGGAAGGGGTGCTCTCCACACTTGCATGCTGGCAAAACAAAAGCCAGGACACATGGATCTAGAGGCAAAGAAGAAGATGCTGGAAGAGCCTTGCCTGGCCTTGTCTATAAGCCTGCATTCTCATAGTTAGGCTGAATAGTTAGGTGAAAATGCCAAAACACAGGGACTCTAAGGTGATAGGCTCTATTCTCAGTGATCATTGTGCCTGCCTCACTTATGCATCAGGACTGACCACTGTGACCAAATCTCTCTTAACAATCCTTCAAATTGCTGATACTTCCATATCTGAAATGAAGCACAGAAGTACAAGGCAAACTTCAAATCATAAATGAACACGGAGTACTTGGACATGGGGAAAGAACCCACCTCAGAAAAGCAGAGTCTTATAGGTAACCCAGGTCAAGCCAGAGTCTCTGGATTTCCTTCTATTAGGCTTCTTAGCAATTCTGGTCTGGAAACCACAGGAGGCCATGAAAGGACTTTCATTGCAAACCTGGTAACAGCTTCTGATCTTAAAAGGACATGTCCTCCCACTATGCTTGCTCAACAAGATCTACATGGGAAGGAAGGACAAAATCCAGCAGAAAGCCCAACAAGATCCTGAGTTCCAGTACTCCTGGCCAGCAGCTCAATTATAGTAACAAGATGCCATGAAGGGAATCAAACATTAAGTGGATAGGTGGAAGAAATATGCCAGATTGGACAAAGAAAATCCCAAATAAGTAGAGAAAAGCCGCAAGACTGACACAAGTCTCCAAACCAGAGTATGTGCAGTAAACAGAAGCACAGAAACACCTGGAGAAGCCAAAGAATATGAAAACCTCAGGCAAAAGAAGACAACCTCTCAAAGTCCTTGCAGACATCCCCAAAGCCTTCCCTATCCATCTAAAGAACACCCAGAAATAACTCCTCAAGCTTAAAACAGTTGAAAACATGGTTTCCTGGAGCTACCAGGGACTCGAGCTCCTCCAAGTACAGAACCAGGACAGAGAGAGCCTGACAGAAAGAAGTAGGCAAAGGATGCACTGCTCTGTCCAGCACCTAAGCCACAGACCTCAAAAGAACCAAATTTCATCTGCCACAGAACCTGGAATAGCTCTGACCAAGGTTTCTAAGTGCTACTGGCCATACAACCTTATAGGAGAGAGAAGGTAAAAAAAGAAAAAAATGAACATTTGCCATCTATTCATAAGAGATTCTCTATAGAAAACAAATTCCTGACTTGCAGAAAAGAACTCAAGTCATCCAAAAAGTTTCTATTCCCTTCACTGACCCTAGTAAGGCTGTCTTTGCTTATCATCCTGCACTATAAGGACAAACAACAGTCTTAACTAGACCACACCCTGTGTAAGTGCTTTCCTCAATGGCCAATTCCATCCACTGGCACTTAGGCAGTAAGCTCCCCAGGAACAGGCCAAGAAAAGCAAGTGAAAACAATGAGATTTCCTTTTGAATGATGGATGGGAAAGACCTAATTATGACAGACTATGAAAGAAGACATATTTGACTATATTTTAAAACACAAACTATAAAATGACAAAACAGATGTGCCTCCCACCACAAATGGCTACTAGTCTCCCTATTATAAAGGGTTCCTAGAAAGAGGCCAAAACAACACAAACATGAACCTAGAATATAAACAGCTCACAGAAAAAGAAACTCAATGTCTTTTAAAAGCATAAAAGAAAAAATGTCCAAGCTTACTCAATTAAAAAAAAAAAAATGAGCTGGGCATGTGGGATATCAGCTACTCAAAAGGTAGAGCTAGGAAGATTGAGGCAAGCACAGGCAAAAAGTTATCGAGACCCTAACCTCAAAAATAAGCTGAGCATGGTGGTTCATACCTACAACCCCAGCTACTTAAAGAGGTGGAGGTAGGAGAACTGTGGTCTGAGGCTGGCCTGGGTAAAAGTGTGAGACCTTACTGAAAAATAAACTAAAAGCAAAGGATCAGGCTCAAGTTCAATGCGCAGTACAGCCAAATCAAACATGGTGGAGGTGGGAGGAGGGAGGGCACCATGACAAAGGAGAATGGTGGAGGGGGAGAATTCAAGTATATTTGATATATTGTAAGAACTTTTGTAAATGCCACAATGTACCCCTACCCAGCACAACAATAAAAAAAATGAGTAGAAATAATTTCAATAAAGTAGTTCATTTAAAAATCTCACATTTTTTCCTAACATATTGGAAAAATACAAACATGTAATGAGGCCATTTTTAGGAGGTTTTCGGGAAATAAGGCATTCTATATATTGCCAGTGAAAGAGAAACAGGTTAAAATCACTCTGGAGAATAATCTGTATAAAAATGACAACTGCCTAACAATTCCATATCCAGGATTTACCCTCCTGACAGCTATAAAGCAAAAATAACATGTAAACTTGTGACCTTATTCAGTAGACCTTTGGTATCCACGAGTACTTGGTCCCAAGGAGATTGCCAACAAGGAAAAACCAAGATTGGTCAGGATGCATAGTGTTCAGTGCTGCACTGGGGATGCTTGATTCATTTTTTTCCGATAACACTGCCCAACATCCAATAAAGATATGCCACCTTTTAACAAATCTTCAATTTTCACTTTATTACTTAAGCATATTAACTTTTACTTTGCTTTTGGGGGACCATTTGCTTTTGGGGAGGCACAGTTTCACAAAATTAAGGGCAGAGAACACTCAGGAGGTAACGGCTATTTAAACACAACTGGTGATAATGTGGGACTGAGTAGTACATGTGTGGAATTTAAAATTTTTGTTTTTGAAATTTCTTTTGGTTTTTTTCTGGGGGGTTGGTACAGGGGTTTGAACTCAGTGTGTCATGCTTGCTAGGCAGGCGCTCTATCAGCCCTGAAATTTAGTTTGATTTTTAAAAAACTTAGCATTATTTTGACCAGGCTTTTGTCAAAACTGTAATAAATCCATGAATAAGGCAGGCTTATTGTACAAGTCAGCATTAGCATCAAGACAGATAATGTTCCTAAATAAGAACCAATAAAGTCAGACAGTACAACTGTGAGAACAGAGCAAAGAGTTGTGTCAATATGGAAAGAGTGCAAAGACACTGGGTTTGGGTGGGGGGTTGGGGGCTGCGAGCTGAGGACCATCGTATAGAGTAGTCGTTAATGTCGTGAGAAAAAAGACAGAAAAAGACAAAAGACAAAGGAAGATGCCTATCTGATGCATTTTCCCTTAGTATGGATTTCTGCTAAGTCTTGAAAGGATGAATAAAATATAGCTTTTTATCACTTTTAGAAATAATTATTTTGAATATTTTAGCACTGTCACACTGACAGTGTGTGGGGCTCACTGGACAAGGCAATTCTGGCCATGGCAGTTTGGATCCCAGAGTCTGCTAATATGGTATGTGCAGTTCCCCGTGAGTGCAACAGGGGCTGAGGCACAAAGGTAGCTCCCCAGCACTCAAGGCTCCCACAACCAGACGAAGAAGCTGGTGGGCAGACAGGCATGCAGCCACACTGTGCTCCATGTTGAAAATGGTGGTTGCATGGTGTTTTATGACAAAGGGTCTTATATAAGATTCCACCTGGAAAACTGGAGTTAAAAATCCAGTGCTGGGCAGATCTCAATGGAAACTATGGCTTTCTCACCACCTGAGCTGATTCTCTTCTCAGAGGAAACGAATGTCACCAATTACCTGCCTCTCCCCAATCATTTCCTCTCAAATCCTCACCTTGTTTGGAGCCTCTGGCACCCAGGAGCCAGGACAGAACAGAATTCTGTCCACAACCTTATGCTACAATCCATGAGGACACATCCTACCTGATACCTCAATTTTGAATGTCTCTTGGTCAGGCGTCCTCAACAGCACAATTCTGCTTCCATTTTTGCCTTTTTACCCTCCAGACTTCCTTCAAAGTGTCTGCCTTGGAGTGGGGTAAGATGGCATGAGGGTAGATCAAATGGGATACATAATGACTACCACTAGGACAGTCATAATGACACCAACAGAATGGAATGCAATTATATTGTCAAGGTCAAGCAAGAGTCAGAAGTGTCATTCTCAGAAATGCACAGGTACAGAGGATGGAGATTCCCCACTTAAGAGTGTCACTTTCCTTCAAATACTTTCTCTACACCAAGTAGTGGGGGCACGGAGGGGGTTTACCAAAGAACAATGCTCTTCACTAAAAATATGCTTTAGTGGAGGCCAGGCTGGAGTCAGCAATGAACCTATTTTTCTGCAAAAATAAAACAAAAAAACCCTTTCAAATGGGTAGGAATATCTGCTATGAGGAAAAGAGAGGATAATAAGTTCTTGGGAGCAAGCTCATAAATGTCCCTCTACCAAGAGGACACAGGTCTGAGGCAATACCTCCAAAAAGCCACACCTCAGGAAGCAGGGACCTGCCACAGAGTCCAAGCAATGAGTAGCTACATCAAGACACTTCAGCCAGATGATTCCATATTATCTCAGATCTTCAAAATTAACAAAGTAAAGCCCTAGCTGCACATGGAAAGCTCCTGGCATACCAGGCAGGTTGGTGGGGAGTGAGCCCGAGGACACTTACTGTGTGTGGCGTGCTCGAGGAACGTACTGTATGCGCAGAGGAGAGGCTGTTCTGGTGGCTGGAGAGGGAACTAGAAGACAAAACAGAGCAGCGCATGTCCACCCAAACAAGTTTCTCCAAAGCATCGAGACCCACTTGGGTTGAAGTGGCTACAATCAAGTTTGTTCCTCCTAACCCTGGGAAAGTCTGCATTTCAGTCCTTATACCCTCAAAACCCAGTGATAAAGTCCTGGTGGTTTAAAATGACCTAAAATGACCTCACCATGAGGTCTGATGCATCCTGGCCTGGCAACCCTACAGAGACAATTCAGTAAAGGATAACCGTTTAATCTTTTGACTATAAAAAAAAGTAAAACCAGGATTGTATTGCCATGCATGGAGAGCTCATAAAATTGAGCAAATTTACCCAACATGCCAAAATCAGAGCCTCAATTTTCTTCAGACCCAGAGTTCAAATCAGATGCTTTTGCTCCCAACTACCCTATTATTATTTTTTTTTTTTTCTTTTTTCCAGTTTGCACTCAGAACCTTGCACTTACTAGGAAGGCAGGCACTCTACCACTTGAGCCATACCTCAAGCCCTACTACACCCTGCTCTAACTTGATCTCTGGAGCCATGATAACAACAAGTCAAATACCTGCTCAAAAATGCAACATCATTCTTACTTCACAAAACAGTGGTATGGACAGAAAGCTGGGGACAAAACAGGTAGGTAGCACCTGCCTAAGATCAGAGGAAAGTAGCAGGGAACCCATGGCCCCATCAATGCCCAGGAGACCCAGTGCTCTATGGCAGCAGAGGCATTACAAACAGTCAAGGTTTTCACATCCGGTGTTTTAAGACCTGATGGGGCCACACCTAATTGAGTATTAACATAAAAGCCCAAGATGTTATGTCGGGGCAATAAATAGGTTTCGTTTGTGTAAACAACGCTGTATGTGGCTCAAGAACTTTGCCCCAGTGTACTTCTCACTCTGGGCCCACATTTCCCCCGTACCTGCTAAGCTGAGAGAGGGGACTGCTGGCCAGGTCACCAGGCTGGGACAAGGTGGGCAAAGTGGCAGTGTGCTGGGATGCAGAGGGCAGAAGCGCAGTGCAAGAAGTGGTGCTGGGCAGGGAGCCCACAGATGGGAGGGCGGAGGGAGGGTCTGTTGTCTTTGGAGCTGGAACACATGAAGTAGCTGAAAGAAACAGATCTATTTAGCTCGAGAACTAATTTTGATTATTGGAAATATGCTGAGTATCTTGTAGCACATCAGGCTTTGGTAAGACATATTACGTTACATTCCCTAGGACAATGCCTAAGCATGTCACCAGATGGTCCCATCTCTGGTCAGATAAAACTAAAGAAACCACGTGTGTATCTATACACAATGGAATTTTATGCAGCCATGAAGAAGAACGAAATGTTATCATTCGCTGGTAAATGGATGGAATTGGAGAACATCATTCTGAGTGAGGTTAGCCTGGCCCAAAAGACCAAAAATCGTATGTTCTCCCTCATATGCGGACATTAGATCAAGGACAAACACAACAAGGGGATTGGACTTTGAGCACATGATAAAAGCGAGAGCACACAAGGGAGGGGTGAGGATAGGTAAGACACCTAAAAAATTAGCTAGCATTTGTTGCCCTTAACGCAGAGAAACTAAAGCAGATACCTTAAAGCAACTGAGGCCAATAGGAAAAGGGGACCAGGAACTAGAGAAAAGGTGAGATCAAAAAGAATTAACCTAGAAGGTAACACCCACGCACAGGAAATCAATGTGAGTCAACTCCCTGTATAGCTATCCTTATCTCAACCAGCAAAACCCCTTGTTCCTTCCTATTATTGCTTATACTCTCTCTTCAACAAAATTAGAGATAAGGGCAAAATAGTTTCTGCTGGGTATTGAGGGGGTGGGGGGGAGAGGGAGGGGGCAGAGTGGGTGGTAAGGGAGGGGGTGGGGGCAGGGGGGAGAAATGACCCAAGCCTTGTATGCACATATGAATAATAAAAGAAAATAAATAAATAAATAAAATGGGCAAAGATTTCAAAAAAAAAAAAAACCACGTGTGATGGCTGGACATATAAGATCCAAACAAAGAGCAAGAAATGACACCTCTATAATCATCAACTCTCCCATGAGGTGGACGTTCTTAAACCACCTACAGAGCACCCAAAAAGGAAAACAGGTGCTTAGATTATTATGTTTAACTATAAGGTGAGGCAAACATTCCTTCAAAGGTACAGCAGGGGAGAGTGAAGACTGATGGGCAAGACACCCCAGTGTGCTTCCATTCACAGTCCACCAAAGCAGACAGGCAATGCCAGAGCTCATGGCAAGCTCAGAGCACTTGGGTGTAAGAACCTAGAGGGGATACACTGTGGAGAGGTCTGTATGCCTTCAATCTGCAGAAAGAACTACTTACTTTCAAATGCACAGTAAGAAATTCCTGGGGGAGGGGAAAAGATGGCCCAAATAAGGTATATACATGTAAGTAAATGTAAAAACAACAGGAAAGAAAAGTTGTAATAAAAAAAAAAATCTACATGTAAGAAATTTCTTAATATGTGCTTCAACAGACTGAAACAAGCTCATTAGGCTTCAGAAAAGACATGGAACCAATCAACCCAACCTGTGGAAAAGACTCAGCTTAGTTCTATCCACACATAAAACTCAGATATGTGCTTGGAAATACATCACTGTCTTTTCCACTTAAGAGACAGAAGCCATCTTTTCTCTTCTGCAAGGTTCCCTGCAAGCCCGGGGCAGAGGGAGAGGAGACTCTAGTCTAATAGTAACGGAAAGATAAAAACGAACACAGGCAAGGACAGATCAACAGTCAATTCTTACAAAGGCCTTTACATGTCCTTCTTCTCCTATTCTAAAGATGAAACTGGTTCTTAGAGAAAGTGGATGAAGATAAAACTGATATATCTCAACCAAATCTAAGATTCTAAAAGGTACTTCCTTGGGCCCATGGATGGCAATGATAACAAGCTCACAGTAGGTCTTTCCATCAAAGAACAAGAACCATGGAAGGAGGGTAGGAACTGGTGGAGAAGTCAGTGTGGGAAATAAAAACCTGTGTTAACAGAGTGCAGTGGCTCATGCCTATTATCCCAACTACTCAGAAGGTGGAGAGCAGGAGGTTTGTGGTTAGAGGCCAATCTGGAAAAAAAGTTAGTGAGACTCCATCTCAACCAACAGCTTGGTGTAGTAGCATGCACCTGTCACCCAAAGTTACACAAGAGGCTGAGATTGGGAGGACTATGGATCTAGGTGAGCCTAGGTAAAAAAAAATTTGTGAGACCCCCATCTCAATGGAAAAAAAGATATACATGGTGGTGTGCATCTGCCATCCTAGCCATGGGAAGAAGAATAAAATTAGAGGATCATGGTCCAGACTGACCAGAACACCCCATCTCAAAATGGAGGTAGTGGCAGAGAGCTTGCTTAGCAAGTGTAAGGCCCTGAGTTCAAAACTGTACTTAAAAAAAGCATTGAGCACCAGGGGCTAAGCCTATTATTCTAGGTATTTGGGGTCTGAAATTGGGAGGATCACAGTTCAAGGCCAGTCTGGGTGAACAGTTCATGAGATATCATCTACAAAAATAACCAGAGAAAAATGGACTAGAGGTGTGGCTCAAGTGGTAGAGTGGCTGCTTTGCAAGCATGAAGCCTTCCAAGGGAGGAAGGAAGGAAGGAAGGAAAACAAAATAAACCATCAAGAGTATGAAATTATCACAATGAAATCCGCTCATATTATTAATGTATGATGACTCAAAATTTAAAGAATCACAGACAAGCAAGAAACCACTAACAGGGATTCGCTTGCACTATCTTCAGTAATCACTGAACTGTTATGTGTATGGGACCGGGCAGTCCTCATTTTCCTATGTGACATCCACAGTGAACAACATTTTGACTCCTCCTAAGGAACAGTCCCTCAGGTCCTGGAAGCAAAGGAGCACATCTTTCCTGCACTAGAATAACAATTTTTTTTTTTTTGCTTTAAAAAGTCCTCATTATTATTGAAGTGACAGCCCTTTCACCAATGTAAAATCTGTCTCTGAGCAAAGGATCTTTTAAATGAATTTCATATACCCCCACAGGTGGTACAGCCTAATTAGGGCAATCAGCTCCTTCTTGCTGTGGCTACAATATTTTTAATATACTACCAGTTATCATGTGGTCACATGGGAATCTCTAGTCAAACTTTGCTAACTGTACCACAAAAGAGTTAGTTTCTATGAACTAATGAATCTGTTCCAATTAAGGATCAAAAGCATGTGATGGTGCATGCCTATAACCCTAGCACTTGGGAGGCTGAAGCAAAAGGATTGAGTTTGAAATACTCAATGAAAAAAAAACTACTCAAAGTAGTTTTTAGGGAAAATGTAAAAGGGCTCTTTTTGGAGAATTAGCCATTGGCCAATAGGTGTTTTCACCATCATGTCAGCCATGCTTTCTCTCTCAGAGTTCCTCCAATCATAACAAGAACAGTTAGAAGATATACTTACTGTCTAGTGTCTGTTGACTTCGACCACCACCATGTCCATTCTATAAGGAACAGAAGAGAAAGTAATAAGTATACCCTATATGGATCCCATGCTGGGATCATTACCCCAGTGACTTTCTATTAGGATTCAGCAGCAACCATAGGGTACAGATTAATGAAGGAACAATTGCCTGTTTTAGTCTTTTTTTTTTTTTTTTCTTTTTAAGTGGGGATAATTCAACAAACTCTAATGAATTACAACAATCTGATGTATTTGAAAACCAGATTCAGTATTTGGGAAGTAAAAAAGGACAAAGTTAGAATGAAATAGTCCTAAAACAATTATTAAAATGTCCGACTTTATAAGGAACATAGAAAGTTCCATAATATTTAAATCATCAGGCACATTTCTGTTGCATGCAAGTTCTGTCTCCTAAGTGCCACATGTGAAAGAAAGAAAATGTTTCCAATTTTTTTTGTAATATCTATACCAAGAATTTGCATGCTTTATTTACATTTTGGTGTTACTAATGTTTGAACTCATCACATACACTTGCTAGGCAGATGCTCTACATTAGAGCTACACCCCCAGATATTTTTTGCTTTAGTTATTTTTTGGATAGGGTCACGGGTTTTTGGCCAGATCTAGTCTCAGACTGCAACTCCTCCTACCTAAATGTCCCTTATACCTGGGATTGCAAGAGAGACCATCATGCTCAGTTTGTTGAGATGGGGCCATGTTAATTTTCTGCCCAGGTCAGAACAGTTATCTTCCCCATCTCCATCTCCCAAGTAGCTGGGATTACAGGTGTGAGTCACCTCACGCCCAGCACCAACATGTTTTATGTCACTAGCAAATTGTTCTCAGAGAAAGTAGGTTAGGACACTGTGATATATGAAAAACACAGAACCTGAGAACTGGTTTGGATAATCACAAGACAATTCAATGGAGCTAACACAAAAAAAGGTATATTTACAAAATGACATCTGTCTTCACAGTATAAGCACGAAGTCATGGCATGGTGCAATGTTTAATCACTGTCCCAAGATAAAAGGAGGATAGATTTAAAAAACAAACAAAAAAACACCCTAAAACAGACTCTTACAAATGTCAAAACTACTAAAGAAAAGACTTTATGTTTGTTGTCTATGCATTAACCCAAATCTAGTACATCTTGTTCTATGAAGATTCCAAAAATAGGGATGACAAAGTGGTTCAAGTGGTAAAGCACCTGCCTATAAAAGTTCTAACCTTTTCTCTCTCCTTAAAGTATGGTCAGTCTCACTAAATATATTTTTTATAACATCTATATGTGTATCCTAAATAGCAGAAATCCTGCCATTTAAATAAGTCCTCCCAAAACAGCACCAGATTAAAAAAATCAGAAAGGGAAATAGGAACAGTTATCAGAAGGGAGAAACATTTCATTCCACCTTGAAAACTGTTTTTAAAATGCAAGATGATAAAGAGGACACTGGTGGCTCACACTGTAATCCTTAGCTTACTCAGGAAGCAGAGATCAGGAGGATCATGGTTCAAAGCCAGCACCAGCAAACAATTCGAAAGACCCTATTTCAAAAAAACTTCTCACAAAAAAGGGCTGGTAGAGTGGCTCAAGGTGTAGGACCTGAGTTCAAACCCCAGCACCATCCCCACCCCCAAAAAGGAAAAGAATTTAACTAAAACAGTTAACAGCTTAGAAGGTGCAAGCACCATGCTTGTTTCTTTGGTGCTAGGAAGGTTTTTTTGCTAAACTGGAAGCTTATCTACACCTTCCTGGGCACAGGCTACACAAAGTAAAATGCAGAGTGTGTAACAACGTGCAAATATAGTGGGAGGGGTTCCTGTGGCACATGGGTTTATATTTCACTCACTGAATTACCAACTACTAGCACTGTTACTGAAAAGTAGAGTTGGGTTTTTAAAATTCACTTAGAAATCTTATACAAAAGAGTTGTATAACTAAAATTCCACGATACCGTGTCATATTTACAAAATAATGTCTATGATAAAAGGAATACAGAAGTGAATACACACTGACTGTCCTCTCAATATATATATATTTTTAAGCAAAAAATTTCAATCATAGAGAAGTGGAAAGAATCATACAGTGAATATCTATATCCTATCGTCTAGACTGAATAATTAACATTTTACTTTTTTTTTTTTTTTTTAATTGAGATAGGGTCCTGTATATAGCCCATGCTGGTCTTGAACTCTCAATCCTCTTGCTTTACTGTTTCCAGTGCTGGGTATTTCCTTTTCATCTGTTTATCCATCTATCTGATGATGGATAAACCATTCCTCAATTGCTTTTTGCTGTTTCAAATTATGTTTACTGACACTAGTACATTTCAGCATATGGATCTTTAACTAGAATTCAATAGCTGATTATGTTTCCTAAGGTGAAATTTACAGAGAAATATATAAATCTGAAGGAGACTATTAAGTCAGTATCAACTAACATAAACTCATGTAATGCAGATTCTTATAAAGACATAAAACATCACCATCAGAACAGAAAACTCCTTGAGGTACACATTTTAATCTCATAAGAAGTCCAGACATAAGAAATAAGTAGAGGCCAGGAGCTGGTGGCTCAGGCCTATAATCCTAGCTATTCAGGAAGCAGAGATCAGGAGGATAACAGTGTGAAGCCAGCCCAGGCAAACAGTTTGTGAGACCCTATCTCAAAACACAACAACAAAAAAAAATCACTAAAAAGGGCTGGTGAACTGGCTCAAACCCCAGTACTGCAAAAAGTAAATAAATAAACAAACAAAAAGGCTAATGATGGGGCTCAATGGTAAAGCAACTGCCTACCAAGCACACAGCACTGAGTTATCCCAGTATCACACAAAAAATAATAATAATGAATTAAATTCTATTAAATAAAACCAGTCAAATTGACCTAGATGCACATTTTCTTTTTAAGTTTCTTTCTAAAACTTTCAGGAGACATTTGTATAGCTCAATGTAAGAGAAAGTCTGTCACTGACAGTGACATTAGATATACAGCTAGAAACCCTCTACAGGGAAGATTTAAAAATCTGATAAAGAAGCCAGGTGCCAGTGGCTCACAGTTCCAAGCCAGACTGGGCAAACAGTTCACAAGACCCTATCTGGAAAAAACCTCTCACCAAAGAAGGCCTGGAAAGTGACTCAAGCATTAAGAGCACCTGCCTAGCAAGGATGAGGCCCTGAGTTCAAACCCAGCACTGCCAAACAATAATTTTAAAAAATAAAATAAAAAACAAAAATACAAAAGAGATCTGGTTTCTTTATAGTCCAAAACTGAGTTCAGAAGGCCTAATTTTTTTTTATAGTGCTGAGAATTAAAACCAGGACCCACTTTCCCCACACATCATGCTAGGCAGATGTTTTGCCACTGAGCTACATATGCCCAGCCCTAAGAAGGAATAATTATAACACAATAAATATAGCTAATGGTAATGCAGAACCACATTCACAGTGAATGAAAACGAATCAAAAGGAGAGAAGTAAAAAAACAGAGAGTAGGCAGGATCAGATCATGCAGGAATACCCTATACCAAAGCCAAAATATTTACACTACCTACAAGCCTGTTTTTCTACAATCAGTATGTGTGTCTGGATACTAGAGATGCCTGTTAGAAAACCCAATAAACTACAAAGATTCTACTCAAAAGGTTAGCTAATTTTTAAAATAAAAACTTGTGAAAAAAAAAATTATCACCAAACCACACACTAACTTCCAAATAGAATATCGTAAGAGAAGCCTAGAAACACCACTTACTGTGACAGTTCCTGGAGCTGACTCCGAAGGACTCACAGAGCTTTGGTATGCGACCCTGTTGTGCACAGAACTCTGGTCATAGGAGGAAGACGTTGTTACTGGATTATTGGAGCTCAGGGATGAACTGGTCAGACTGGAGGAGGTAATGACTGAAGTTGTATAGGTGGCATTCTGTACAGCACTGGTCATTGGTAAAGAGGTATTCAAAGGATTACTATAAAGAATAAAAAATTAGATGTACATTAATATTGTTTCACACAGTTTTATTGAACAGAACCACTTGATCAATTCATGGTCATATATATATATTTTTTTTTTTTGCAGTACTAGGGCTTGAACTCAGGCCTCACACTTGCCCTACTACTTGAGCCACACCCCTAGCCTGATATTCTTAGTTAAAACTGTAAGTGTATCACCAGACAGACATAGACCAGACCCACCTAATTTAGCTGACAGATGGGGGAGACCTTTAAGAACCCTTTAGAGACTTTAAGGCTGGGCATGGTAGCTCATGGCTCACACCTGTAATCTCAGCTATTCAAGACACAGAGATCAGGAAGGCAAAAAGTTAGCGAGACTTCATCTCAACCAACAGAGGGAGGGGAAGGAGAGGGAGTAAGAAGGAAGAAAGGAAGGAAGGGGGAAGGGAGAAAAGGGGAAAGAAAAAAGGAAAAGGGGAAAGGGAAAGAAAAAGGACAAACCCCAGTCCCATCAAAAAAAAAAAAATTAAAGTCTAACACTTGAATTTGCATAACTGTAAATAAATTAAAAAAAAAAAAAAAGAAAGAAAGTGAAAGGAAAGGAAAGGAGGGGAGAGAACGGGAGAGGAGGGAGCAATTTTCCAGGAATCCAGGCCACTGGATCAGATTTTGTCTCTGAACCTGGAAAAACTAACTGATAAAAATCTCAAATCTGGCAATTGCTATTTATACGATATTCCATGGAAAGAAAATCAGTGTTGCAAAGATGTGGAAAAATTGGATCCTTCCCAGATTACTTGAAGGAATGTAAAATGCTACAGCTACACTCTGGAAAAAGTCTAACAGTTCTTCAAATGGATAAATACAGCAGTTACCATATGTCCCACTAATTTTTACTCATAGATACATATCCAGAAGAACTGAAAGCACACAAAACTTGTAACTGAATTTCCATAGCAGCATGTAGTACATCTGCACAATTAAAGGTTTGGCAATAAAAAGGATATGTACAACAGGATGAACCTTGAAAACCTTATGTTAAATCAAAGAAGAGAGACACAGAAGGTCACATTTTACATGATTCTAGTTATGTGAAATGTCCAGGTTAAGCAAATCCTGAGACAGTTTGTCAAGGGATAGCGAGGAACAAGAAAGTGGGAATACATGCTACAGGTATGGAGTTTTTCTTAGGGGTAAAGAAAAAAAAAAAGTTCTGGAATTAAACATCATTGACTAATTTGTCTTGTTTTACAAAGAAAGTACTAAATTTAGTCAAAACCAGAAAACTGGAAGCTTTATACCTTAAAGACTTCGGATACAAATTGATGGGAATCTGATTACTATTTTCATTGCTTGGAGCTGATCCAAACTCAGAGAGGGAGGGTTCTGTTCCAAACTCCAGGGCCCCAAACTGAACATTTAATCCTGTGATATCTGCTGAACCAGGCATTTCCACTGCAGAAGCTGGAATCTGAAAAAGCAAAGCTGTAATGTCAGAAACAGAGGTCAGGGACTCCAAGTCTCAAAGGATTATAACAGACCCAAATAAGACACTGGGTTTCCCAGACTACACTGGCAGAATCAATGAGAAACAGAAAGGAAAGAAAGAGCAATAGGAATTGTAAAAAGTGAGTGAAAAGAACAAAGGAAAATTAAAGGGTCACAGGGGAATGGTCAAAGTTAATACGACCAACTGCTTCTTAAAAGTACTGGGGATAGTGTTGTGGTAGGGAATTGAGGGAAAAGAGTGGGCACTGAGCTACTTTCAGGGACATGTCAATTATGAAAGTATTTTCTGTTTGTTTAAGGAACATACAAATTATGGGATAAAGGAGAACACACAAGAACAAATGCTTTGTCTACATCCTCAAATCTTTATCCTAATTACGAGTCTCTCGGCACATTAGCCTACTCACTCAAAAATGACCAAATCCTTATAAAGCAGTTAAGTTATATGCCATATAGCCCTATGTAATCCAGGCTGGCTTCCTACTCTCAGTCCTCCTACCTCAGCCTCCCAAGTGCTGGGAAAACACTGCCTCATAGTTTCTGAATCTCCCACTACTTTAGCTAGATATTAAATACACCATTTGGGATCATGACTTCAGGATGGAATGCCCACCTTAGAAGCTGGAGGTACCCGCCGCTTAGGGAGCTTGATGTGTTTGGGCTGTGGTTGGTGGGCAGAAACAGAGAGATTTTCAACAGCCATGTTAGGAAGCTGCAAGAGTTTGTTCACAGTGGAGGTACTCTCTCCAGGCACTGATTCTCGGTGTTTTGCCTGGGAAGAAAAGGACTCCAGACCAGGAGGTGGAACACTGACTGCCTGGGTCTGGTGCTGCTGTCGCTGGCTCAGCTGGCTTAGAACTGGGGATGGCTCAGGCTGAGATTTGAAATCTACGAAATACAGAAAGAAAAAAAAAGCATCCATCAATTATTCTTTAACAAAGGTTTTGAACTCCCTCTATACCTTCCTGTTCACGAAGGTTCATTCCATCATTACACGTTTCTTTTTTTTCTTTTTTTTTTTTTTGCTATATTGGGGTTTGAACTCAGGGCTTCACTCGTCAATCACTACATGTTTCTGTGAATTGTCTACTTAAATCTCTTAAGAAAGGAAATATACAACTGACAACTGGAAAGGATGCCTAAATAGGTTTATTCCTTAGTTCCTCACAGAGAAGGTATACAGTTTATGCTAAATCATATGGAGTAGGAACCTCTAAGAAAGTACTGAAGTGGTATAAACACCTGCCCATTAGAGAATTAGCTATTATTGTTTTAAGGATGTTGTATATAATATTTTTTTAAAAAGGTATTTACCATGTACCTTAATTTCTCAAGTCATTTTAATTTTCAGAGACTTCCATATTAATGTGCAAAGAACTACTTCCCTCACTTTTGACTATATCAAAATCCAAAGGACATACATATAATTTTTCTAAACTAGTACTGTATTAATAGACTTTTAGGTTTTCCTGTCTCGTATTATGAAAACAATGTGGTAATGAACATATTTGTATATAAGCCCTTTTCTCAAGTGTACTGATCCCTGTAGGATCAATTACTAGAATAAAGATGGTGATTTACAGGATAAATGTATTTTAAATTTTGACAAACACTTTCAAACACAAAATTTCAAAACAATTTCAAGACGAAATTGCTATTCATAGATAGGAAGCATTGTTTTTAACATATTGTAATAAGAATGATTTATGTTTCTGGGCTACAATAATAAATGAGTTTAACTATCATTTTGTTTATTCAGTGTTCTTTTCCTGCAGACTTTGTCCATGTCACTTAAGAGTATTTTTTTTTCATTACTCCTTTTTTATTAACAGAAGTAATTCTTTGTTTAGAGTATGATTTTAAGATGTTCACATTTTATTTGTCTTTTGACGTAGCTATGCTATCTTCTTTTATTCCTATAAAGGTCCTCCCCTACACAGAATATAATAAAAATCCTCTACAGCTGTTCTACATTTATTATATTTAAGTATTTAACTTATTTGGCACTTTGGTGTGTACATTCAACTTCCTTTTCCAAGCAGAAAACCAAATATAATAAACCATTTCCTCATCACTGGTATGAAATATTACCTCTATCATATGGGACAAAGGTAGGAAATCTTTTCCTATAAAGGGTCAGATAATATAAATATTAGCCTTTGAAAGTCATCTGTCAGCAACTACTCAACTCTGCCTATATTGGCTTAGTTTCAATAAAACTTTATTTATAAAAAAGTAAATGGCATTTCTGGGCATAGTGGTACTTGCCTGTAATCACACTACTCAGGAGACTGAGGCAAGGGGATCATGATTCTGAGGCCAGCCTGGGTTACACAGTCCAACAGGTCATTTCAGAAAAACCAAATTAGCACATCCAGTCTAAATGAATTCATTTTTGAACTTGATTAGAGGCATGTATCAAAAGAATTAGGCTTTTGCTAAGCACAGTAGCTCAAGCCACTTTGTTTGAAGGGGCAGGGGGAGGATTTACAGGATTACAGTTCGAGGCCAGCCCCAGCAAAAAGTTCAAGAGACATCGTCTCAACCGTTGCTGGGCACATAGCGAGTGCCTGTCATTTCCAATTACATGGGGAAACACAAACAAGAGGATCAAAGTACAGGCTGGCCTGGTCATAAAACAAGACCCTATCTCAAAATTAAAAGCTAAGAGCACCTGTCTAGTAAGCATGAGGTCTTGTGTTCAATCCCCAGTACTGCACACCCCCGAGCCCAAAAAAAAAAAAAAAGGAATGGGCTTCATAAAGAATATAGTAATAACATGCTTATATCTAAAAACTTCTTTCATTATTAAGAATGCAGGAAAAAGTTAACATACAAAGCCTACAACTACCATCAGAAAGGTCTGCTTGAAAGTTGGTCTTTAGCTGGCATCTGGGAAGTTGAATGTTGGTATGTGCTAGCCAAAGGATGCCAACACAGTAACTGTATGTGAAGCTCACTATGCCTAGCATATCTATACAAACAATGTGGTTTTTGTTCAACATCTGTTTTCCTTCAGAGAATCTGTAATTTTGTGGTCTGCTAGGCAGAAGGGTGGCTATGTTTTCAGCCCCCAATAGTCTCTTAAGGGCTATCCCTGGTAGATATTATATTAAGCCAAGTAATCCATTTCAATGAGCACAGTAATCCACTGTCTCTCATTATATCCTAAATACAAACCAGCCCGCACAACCAATTCTACAATTAAAGTAACCCCCTGCTGTTCCAAAACATCAAGCTCACACACACTGTCTTTACAATACAAACATTAGTAAGTAAAGCTTGACAACTCATGGTGGATTCATGCATAATATCAGAATGAGAAAGCATTAGAGTATGTGGATTTGTTTTGTTTTGTGCTGCTGGAGATTGAACCCAGAACCTCACACATGGTAGACAAGCACTCTACCACTGAGCAATACCCCTAAACCCATAAAGGGTATGATTTAAAATACTTTCCACATTCTACCTTCTGTTACCACCCTGTTATATAATAGAGTTTAACAAAACCTATCTATGTATTTACTGAAAATGTTATATACTAATATTTGCCTTCTCCTACCACACTTATACACAGTTCTTCTAGCCAGGATACTACTAGCAAGAATAGCAATAACAAATAAATGTAGGTCTTGTATAACACAAAAATGACTGATAAAAATTTTAAAACTCTGCAAGTTTTCTAAAAAGAAACATCTCTTCTTAAGTTTCATTTTTAGTGATCACAAGTCAACATACTCTGCTAATAATTTAGCATGTCCTCAAGTTATGGACAAACCACTACAAAAAATGTATACTTACCAAAATGATTAAGGACTGAAGACTGGGATCCTGAGGGCTTGAGGTCCCAAGAAGTAGTAGTTGTTGGGGGACTAGTACTATTCTGCTGTGAATTTGGGGCAGCAGTAAACTGGCTCAAAGTCGGGGCACTCAACTGTTCCAAAATCTGGGAGCCTGTGATATTGGCCATTTTTGATGGTGCAAGCTCTCCAAATCTTGAGCCAAGGACGGATGACTTTAAAGGGAAACAAAAGAACAAATCCTCAGCAATGTTTACTTCAGGCTTTAACAAGCCAAGTATTTTTAGAAGTGTTTTAAAAACTGTACTCTAGGAAATCTGAACTGGTAAGTTTTATTTTAGAAATACTAGATGAAAATTTTACTATGTCACAAGAACAAACTGGACAAATCAACAATCTTGACATGAGGTTCAAGGGATCAGAAATACCTACTATAGATTTGAAGGAATTTTTTTTAAGTGGTACCTCACATTCACAATTAATTGTCACCTTTTTTTTAACTGAAGAGGAATAAAAGTAAATGACAAAGACATGCTTAGCAAATGAAAACATAAAACTGTCATAATCTGTGAACCACAATGATCATCTTTAATGATTAGTAAAGGTCAGTCCTAAGGTTATGCTGCAAGATCAAATTTGGTAGTAAAGTTAAACAGTTAATATTCCAAAATCAGACACTGAAACATATAGGTCACTGAAGATGAGCAAATACCTTGGAACACAAAACATGTTCCATAAAAAAATAAAATAATGCCACTATTCCTCCATCTGTTCTCTCATAGGTCATACATATGTCAAGATCCAAAGAAACAGGTATGTTGGCACATACCTTAATTCCTAGTACTTGGCAGGCTGATGCAGGAGGATCAAGAGTCCAAGTAAGACCAACCTAGGCTACAGAGTAAGACACTGTCTCAAAAAAAAAAAAAAAAAAAAAATCTGAAGAGAATAAAAAGCTATGACTAAAACATGCAGTGTAAAAGGACCAGCCTTTTTACATAGCAAGATCATTCTGACAAGTTCTTTGAAACAAGTAACATTTTAGGGCCTTGGGATGTAGCTCAGTGGTGTGATCTCCAACACTGACACTTAGTAGATTAGAATTTAAAAAAAAAAAAAAAAATTCTAATCTACTAAATTTCAAAACCAGAAAATACTTTGCTTTCCACAGAAGTTAGAGCAAGGAAACTGAAATAATTATTTTTTTTATCATTAACACACAAAGCAGGGAATATACCAGTTGTAAAGAAAAAAAAATTCAAATTTCTCCATTGTGAGGAAAATGTGGACTGGATGTACAGCTCAAGTAGTGGCACACTTGCCTACAAGCTTAAGGCCATGAGTTCAATCATCAATATCTCAAAAAAAAAAAAAAAAAAAGAAAAGAAAAAAAAAGCCAGTTATGTTATGGGCAGTTGTAGCATATCAGTTGGATCAATCCAATCCTCTTTGAACAACTGTACAAATGGTGCTTATCACTAACTTCTCTAGTTTCACTGATGTGCTGCCTTCCACATCTCTTAGGTTTCCATCACTCCAATAATCCAACAAAACCTATCTCAAGCCTACTTATTCAACAGTGTCCTCTGAGATGTTGCCCTCTTCGTCTTCTTTCCTACATAATCGATCACACATCAGCTAGTTTTATCAAATACACTTATAATACCTTGAACTCACTGCATCAATGACTGATGCCATACACTAGGCAACAGTTCAGGGTCTCTTAATTTCATCACCTCAATGAGGAAGACATTTAAAACGTGTGTTAGTAGCATGTGTGCCTAATACACACACATACAAATACAGTGTCCAAATCGCAGTCCCAAAGATTTTGTCTTATGTAGACCCTGGCATTATTATTTTAATTATCATTATTAATGTCATTGCTTAATAGCCCAATGGTTATAAACTACAGTAGGGTTTAGAACCATGGCTCCAATATGCTAGACAAACAATTCTTTTTTTTCTCTTTTTTATTTGTGTGTGTGTGTGTGTTTGTGTATTTTTTTTGCCTGTACTGGGGTTTGACTCAGAGCCTCATCCTTGCTAGGCAGGTACTCTACCTCTTGATCCACTCTGCCAGTCCTTATTATTGTACCTTAATTGTATAATGGAGTTTCATTATGATATTTCCATACTTGTATATAATGTACTTTGACCAAATTTGATCTTCCATTACTCTTCTTATTCCACCCCCTTCGAACAATTTAATAGGTTTCATTATTCTATTTCATACATGTGTATGAAATACTTGAATCATATTTACGCCCCCTTCACTCTTTCCTTTTCAACTTCCTCACTCCTGTTGGTTCCCACCCCTTAAACTGCCCCCCATTTTACACTCATCTACACAAACAATTCCTACTCCAGTGTTTCAAGGTGTTGATCATAACACAAAGCAACATACCTAAAAGTCACTGTAAAAATTCAAGCTCTATTTATGAATTCAATGACCAGACTGAGATTCTAGTAAATCAGCAATGACATCATACCAGTAGCAAAGACAGAGAAGGAAAGAATATTAGTGGCTCAATCTAAAAACAGGGATTTTATTAGTTAGGCATTCTCAGAAGAGAAAGGGCACTATGCCCACTTCAATCACTGATACTTCCTCATATACCAATCACACTAAAAAGGCCAAGTCTCCAAGCCCAGAATGTGATGTGACTATGCAGAGGAAAAAAAAAAGAAAAATCTTCCTGCCTCCCTCCCTTTCCTCCCTTTGGGATTATAGTATGCACCACCATGCCAAGCAAAATTCTGTTTCTTGCAGTACTGGGGTTTGAACTCAAGGCCTCATACTTGCTAGGCAGACACAAAATTCTGTTTTTTGATGACAGATTTCAAACAAAGTACACAACAATAAAATTATTACTAATGAAAGCTGCAGGTTGGTGCTCTCTCTCAGCTCAGAACATTCTATAGGTGGGCACATACTGCAGTTCACTGTTCTGCACCTGCATTCTTTCAAAACCTTTCTTCTAATCTTCTACTCCCACCAGCCTACCGTTTCATTCTTCACTTGCAGTTTCAGAAGTTCTTTATGATGGGAACCTAATTCTCTTCAGAATTTAGAGTCACACACGCACCACTGAATGACATCTTTTCAATAAATGCTTTCAAATGTACAAATAAATTGTTTGTATTTTAAAAAAAAAAGAGTATTTTATGGAATAAAAGAACAAAGAAACTTACAAATTACAAAAACTTAGGTAGACTTGGAAAGAACTGTATTTTGCATGTTAATTTAAACACAAATTAAAATTAACATATTAAGCCTACAGACTTTGAAACAAACTACAATAAAATTAAGTCATTAATATCAATAATAATCATTTCTATCTATTATCTGATAAACACTCAACTTATCAAAAACATATATTTTTATCTTAGTCCAGTAAACTCAGTAGTTAAAGTCCACATGGAATCATCAGATATGTGCTTGGAAATTATCACATCATTGTTTTCTGGACTGAGATCTATTGCAGAACTTTTAATAATCACATTATTTATGGAAAAATAATTGTAAGGCTTGGGTCATATTCTAGACTGCCACTGCTAATGGGTGTAATCCCGTATGGAAATAAAAGTACATTACCAGACTCTGAGGAGAATAGGAGTTGGCAGCTGTGGTGTTGCCAGTCCCTGATGCCATCTGATTGTCGTGTTGAGAATTTGTGAAGACAAGGGCTTGGCCAAAGCTCTGCTGCTGGGAGGTTTCAAAGGTGTTGACTTCTGAGGTCTGACTGGAAGGAACAGGTTTCTGGAGCAAGGCTACTAGATCAATGCTAAGCAGACAAAAAGCAAATGAGAAACCACAAACAAATGAGAGGGATACTAGTCAGTAATCTTAAGGTAGAAAATATCCAAGTGAGCAGAACCTTCAGAAAATGAAGTTTAGGAAAGAGAAACGGAAGGCATCAATCATCAAAAAAAATGTTATAAAGCCATAAACCACTAATGCATGGCTTTGAGTTTTTTTGTTTGTTTGTGGGGTTATTTGTTATTGTTGCTATTGGCAGTACTAGGCTTTGAAATCAGGGATTCACACTTGGTGGGCAGGTACTCTACTACTTGAGCTACACCTCCAGCCCTTTTTGCTCTGGTTATTTTTAAAATAGGGTCTTGTTTTTTTGTCCAGGCCAGTCTCAACTGCAAACCTATTTTATGGTTTTCTGCTGTTGCTGGAATGACAGGTGCAAACCACCACACCCAGCTTTTTTCTATTGAGATGGGAATCTCACAAACTTTTTGGCCCAGGCTGGCCTGGAACAGTGATCCTCCCAATCTCATCCTCCCAAGTAGCTAGGATTATAGACATGAGCCACCTGCGACCAGTTCAAAGCATGGATTTGAAAAAAGAAAAACAAAAGGTGAAGCTGGGCACCAGTGGCTCATGCCTGTAATCCTAGCTACTCAGAAGGTAGAGATCAGAAGGATTGAGGTTTGAAGCCAGCCCTGGGAAAACAGTTCATGAGACCCTATCTTGAAATCTAGAAAAAAAAAAAAAAATCACAAAAAGGGATGAGGGTGGAGGATGTGGTAGTGGAGTGGCTCAAGCAGTAAGAAGCACCTGCTTTGCAAGTGTGAGGTACTGGGGGTTGAACTCAGGGCCTCACATTTGCTAGGCAGGTACTCTACCACTTGAGTTCCAGTCCCCTGGACCTCAGCAATGGTAGAAGATCTGGCAAATTTTATGTTTATTTTAAATACCTCTATAACTTTTACATTTTATCCTATATTTAGACATGTGTGTTTAATTTTGTCTCTAAAATATTTAATAAAGGCACAACAAAGTAACAAGCCACTGTCAACTACGACTTCTTATAACACCCTCAGAAACACAAGATACTCCAGTTTGAGAAACATGGCCTAAAACCTGAAAGTATGAAGTCCATTCAGATGAATTACTGCCTGCCATGTGAATGAGCTGCTTGCTTCCTGCAACCATTCTTCTCCAAACTTACAAAATACAGCAGAACCTGCAAGATGTTCCAGATTACCTAATAAGAAGCTCAATGAATTCCTTCCAAAGGCCTGTTCCCATCAGCTCTCTAACTGAAAACTCTCACTCAGGCAGACTCTAGGAGGACAAAAAATTCAGGAGTCACTCTTGAAGAACTTTGGCCCTGAGTTCCTTTCCTTAAATACTGCTGTTCCCACATTTCTATAGCCACAATGAATCCCAAACTAGTATTTTGGACCCCAAGATGATAATCTACTAATTATAATATCCTAAATTACAGAGATACAAATCAAGGATGGTTTACTGTATGTGGCCAATTACAAAAGTTGCATTACTACCAAAAGCCTGAGGAAGTTCTATTCCAAAGGGTTTCATATGCATAAAAACAGCACCATGCCATCTTCTAAAAAAATAAAATAAAAATACCACTAAAGAGTCCAGTTTTGTTTTTTATAAAAAAAATGAAAATCACCATGTAAATTCTGAATCATAAATACAATGGAAAACATTTATTTTATTTCTCTAAAAGGTTCTTATAACTATCTCATGAGGTTAGAGAATTGCTTTCTTTTAAGATGTCACTGATAATCCAGGTTTTTATCACCCTAAATCACTGCATTTTTAAAAACATTTTCAAGTTTAAAAAAAAAAAAAAATATGATGAGGCTGGAGGCATAGCTCCAGAGGTACAATGCATGCCTACCAAGCACAAGACCCCGAGTTTAAACCCCAGTGCTACCAAAAAAAGAGTTATAGAGCTGGCAGAGTGTCTCAAGTGAAAGAACCTGCCTAGCAGCAAGCATGAGGTCCTGACGTCAAATCCCAGTGCTTGCTAGGCAGCAACAGGCCTAGAATACTAAACTTGGGGCCTGGTTTGCCAGGTGCTTGGCTCAGGCCTGTAATCCTAACTAGTCAGGAGGCAAAGATTAGGAGGATTATGGCTTGAAGCCAGCCTAAGTGAATTGTTCACAGAGTCTAACTCAAAAAAAAAAAAAAAAAAAACCACAAATTAAGGGCTGGTGAGGTAGCTCGAGGTGTAGGCCCTGAGTTCAAACCCCAGTACAGAAAAAATGTTTATAGAATGCCAAGGCATTATTTTTTTTGTGGGGCTGTGCTGTTAATGTGGTTAAGGTTTTCTTGTTTTTATTTTGTTTTTTGATTGATTAATTGATTGAAGGCAAGATCTCACAATGTAGCCAAGGCTGGCCTTGAACTGATCCTCCTGCCTCAGTTTCCCAAATGTTACAACTATAGGCATGTACCACCACACCCAACTACTTCAGTATACATTCTAAGAATGTTGACCTTATCCCCCAATGGGCCTTTTTGTGTCCTGTGATCTAGTAGAACCCATATAAAATGAAAAGTTTACTTTTGGTTGGAGATATTATTATATGATAAAAGCAAAGGATGGACTATACTAAGTTTATTCTGTCAAAAAACAAATTTTTACTCAAAATGGATCAAGTATCTTAACATCAGACCACAAACTCTAAAGTTGGTACAGGAAAGTGTAGGAAATACTTTAGAATTAATAGGTATAGGAAAGAACTTTCTCAATGGAACCCCAGCAGCTCAGCAACTAAGAGATAGCATAGATAAATGGGACTTCATAAAACTAAAAAGCTTCTGCTCAAATGGTCTCTAAACTGAAGAGACCACCCACAGAGTGGGAGAAAATATTTACCAGCTACACATTAGACAAAGGACTGATAACCAGAATATATAGGGAACTCAAAAAACTAAATTCTCCCAAAATTAATGAACCAATAAAGAAATGGGCAAGTGAACTAAACAGAACTTTCTCAAAAGAAGAAATTCAAATGGGACCAAAAAACACATGAAAAAATGCTCACAATCCCTAGCAATAAAGGAAATGCAAATTAAAACCACACTAAGATTCCACCTCACCCCTGTTAGAATAGCCATCATTAGCAACACCACTAACAACAGGTGTTGGCGAGGATGTGGGGGAAAAGGAACCCTCTTACACTGCTGGTGGGAATGTAAACTAGTACAACCACTCTGGAAAAAATTTGGAGGCTTCTTAAAAATCTAAACATTGATCTACCATATGATCCAGCAATACCACTCTTGGGGATATACCCAAAAGAATGTGACATAGGTTACTCCAGAGGCACCTGCACACCCATGTTTATTGCGGCACTATTCACAATAGCCAAGCTATGGAAACAGCCAAGATGCCCCACTACTGATGAATGGATTAAGAAAATGTGGTTATCTATACACAATGGAATTTTATGCAGCCATGAAGAAGAATGAAATGTTATCATTCACAGGTAAATGGATGGAACTGGAGAACATCATTCTGAGTGAGGTTAGCCTGGCCCAAAAGACAAAAAATCCTATGTTCTCCCTCAAATGCGGACATTAGATCAAGGGCAAACACACAAGGGGATTGGACTTTGATCACATGATAAAGTGAGAACACAGAAGGGAGGTATGAGGATAGGTAAGACACCCAAAAAACTAGATAGCATTTGTCGCCCTCAATGCAGAGAAACTAAAGCAGATACTTTAAAGCAACTGAGGCCAACAGGAGAAGGGGACCAGGAACTAGAGAAAAGGTTAGTTCGAGAAGAATTAACTTAGAAGGTAACACACATGTACAGGAAAGCAATTCGAGTCAACTCCCTGTATAGCTATCCTATCTCAACTAGCAAAAACCCTTGGTCCTTCCTATTATTGCTTATACTCTCTCCAACAAAATTAAGAGAAAAGGGCAAAATAGTTTCTGCCTGGTAGCAAGGTGTTAGGGTGGGTAAGGAAGGGGGCAGGGGGGAGGGGGAAGGGGGGAGAAATGACCCGAACATTGTATGCACACATGAATAAAAAAAAAAAAATTTTTTTTTAAACAGTAGTAAGAGTAACCAATAAGTAATACAATCTTTGGTCAACTGCTAAGACATCACAAAAATGGCTTATTATAACTCCAATTAGGAAATGAGTGTAGCTGTTAGCTGTCCAGGTAGAGGTAAATAAAGTTTTAATCAAAAACAGAAAAAAATAGAGAAAGACCTATAAATGCAAGCACTTGTCCTACAGCAAAAAATTTCAGTTATGCTGTGAATAAGAAACAAAAGATTGTCAAAGTGTTTACCTTTGCCCGGGTGTAATGTGATTCTCTGCTGGAACAGATGAGGCAGTGAAGACTTTTGTTTCAGAAAGCTGTATGGAAAATTTGAAAAGAAATGTTTAATCTACAAGCCAAAAAATTTACTGAATTCCTAATCATTTTCAGTCATCAGTACTCTTACAGGTTACCTAAAAGATGTTCTAAAAGAAATGAAATGTATGAAGGACCATAACAAGACATTTTCTTCAGGTGGAAATAATTTTAGATCAGTAAGTCTACAAGAATGACTTCACTACCCAGGTATATGGTGACACACAAACCTAGTTCCAGCACTTGGGAGGTGGTAGCAGGAAGATCACGAGTTTGAAGCTGCCTTAGGCTACATAAGGAGTCCAGAAAAGTCTGGGAAACATGGTAAGAGACTGTCTCAAGGAAAACAAAAAGCTTTCACATGAGGGAAATGGTAAGAATAACGGGAAACAGCACAGTGAAACAAAGTTAAACCAAGGTTCAAGTATTACTCTCATGACTCAATTTGTTACTGCATACCAAAAAAGCAAAAAATAGTAGAGAAATTTGAAAAGGTGAAACAACTGGCTTTTGTATTTCACTGGTTACTAATTTACATTTCACTTTTATTATCTTTTTTTTTTTTTTTGGTACTGGGGTTTGTACTCAGGGTCTCTCACTTGCTACTTAGGTGTTCTACCACTTGAGCTGCATCCCCAAGTCCTCTTTTTTTTTTTTGTAATTGATTTCATTGAGAGAGGAAACATAATAACCTCACATATACAAAATGAATAACTGAATGAGTGTTGGTACATATGTGTGTGTGTGTGTGTGTGTGTGTACATATATATACGTAAGTTTCTTATCTCCTTGGCTTAAGTGGTCCTCTTGACTTTGCTGCGATTACAGGTGTATACTACCATCCCGGGCTAATAAACATATTCTTTACTCCCAAAAAGTTTCCTCCTGTTCCTATATATTACTCCAACCATTTTTTGTATCCTCAGGCAACCACTGACATGCTTTCTGATGCTATAGACTGGGTGCATATTTTTTAGAATTTTAAGTGAGAACACTTAATATTGTATGCTTTTCTCTGCTTCTTACCCTCATTATAATTTTGGAATTTGCGCATTTTGTTTTAATACACTTTTGGGACACTTAGGATAAATTTTGTGACACTTCAACTGACATGAATGAAAGGTATATGTTCTCTATACTGTCAATGTCTAGAATGAGTTTCAGGGAGGGAGAGAAGGAGAGTGGGTGCAGCAGGGGAGGAGAGAAAGAGAGAGGGTCTGACAGAGAGATTGACTCACTCATTATTACTGTCCAGGTTGGCCTCTAACTCAAGATCCATCTGCCTCAGAGTAGCTGGTAATACAGGAAAGGGCCACAAAACCCTGCTTAAAAGTTTTGTTTTGTAGTCTTTTGGCAGCACTGGGGATCAAACCCAGAGCCACTCACGGCCTCAAGCACAATGAGTAAGTGTTCTACCACTGAGCTTCATGCCTGTACCTCTTTTAATTCTTATCAACACTAAACATTAAAAAAATCTGAAACACTGTACAAAATCAGATTTCCTGAGATAGAAACATGAAGCAGGACTAGAGAGTATACCACAATGATTATTCCTTTATTTGATGTTTGTTTGCAGTGCTGGAGTTTAAACTAGGGATGTGAGCTTACTAGTGAGGTACTCTACTACTTGGGCCATGTCCCAACCCTGACTTAACAAGGGCTTGGGTTGCATCCTGTTCCAAGTGTCCCAATGAATTCACTTTTGCCTTAAAAAAAACAAAAAAACCACACACAATTAAGAAAATTAAGTAGGCAGCCACTGGTGGCTCATGCCTGTAATCCTAGCTACTTAGAAGGGTGAAATCAGATGACTGCACTTGGGGGGAGAGAGAGTGTTTGAAAAACCCCATCTCCAAAGTAATCAGAACAAAATGAACTAGAGGCATGGTTCATGAAGCAGAGCACCTGCTTTATAAACACAAAGCCTTGAATTCAAACATCAAAAACAAACAAATAAATAAAAATGAAATGAAAAACACTGAAAGAGTAAATGCAATACCCTATACATAGTAAGTTTTAGATAAGCCAGGCACCAATGACTCACACCTGTAATACTAGCTACTCAGAAGGCAGAGATTAAGAAGGTCACAATTCAAAGCCAGCCTGGGCAAATAGTTCAAGAGACCCTACCTCAAAAAAATAAATAAAAATAAAGGAATACAGCCTACAAAAGAAACCCCAAAAAAACAAAAAAAAAGCATCATTGGCAGAGTGGCTCAAGCATTAAGAGCACCTACCTAGCAAGTGTGAGGCTCTGAGTTCAAACCCAAATACAGTCAAAAACAAGTTAACCTTTTTTCCTTTCTGTCTTTCTTTTTGTTGCTGGGGATTTAACCAAGATCTTGTACATGTAATGCTGAAACCACGACTTTAACATTAGACTGACAACTACCCAGAAAATAGTGCAGTGTACTAAATGTCTGTGAAGTAAATATAAACAGTTTGGATATAGCTCAGTGGTAGAGAGTTAAGCCTAAAATGTATGAAGTGCTGGGTTCCAACTCTAGCACAGCAAAAACAGGGAAGGAAAAAAAAGAAGAAGAAAGAAGGCTTGGGTGTGGTGTCTCATACCTGTAATCCCAACCATTCAGGAGGGAAGGCCAGGAGGATGGTGATACTAGGCCAGCCCAGAGAAAAAAATTAATGGGGTTCCATGTTAGAGCAAAAAAAAAAAAATCTGGGCTTGGCAGCAAAGCCTATCATCTCAGCTACATGGGAGGCATAAATAGGAGAATCTGGTCTAGGTCTGCCTGAGCAAAAAACACAAGACACTACATGTAAAATAACCAAGGACAAAAAGGCTGGAGGTGTGGCTCAAGTGTAGTAGTGATGGGTTTTGCTGGCTGGTGGGGAGGAGAAGCAGCAGAATTCATCTAGTGAAAAGTGATGGGGTTGGGCATGGAATCAGAACAACCTCAATCAGGCTAATACAAACTGTGAGCCAAATACACACACTTTCCTTTAGTAAAAATATTCTAAAAAATAAGTAATACTCCACCAACGAGGGGCAATAGTATCAGCTGGCTATATCGGGTCAAAAAAAAAGCCAGTCACTGGTGGCTCACATCTATATTTCTGGCTACTCAGGAGATATTAGAGATCAGGAGGACCTCAGCTTAAGGCCAATCTGGGAAAATACATCATGAGACTCCATCTCTAAAATAACAAGGGCAAAATGGACTGGAGGTCTCGAGGCTTAAACAAAAGAGCACCTACTTTGCAAGTGTGAAGCCCTGACTTCTAATCCCAGTTCTTCTGAGAGAAAAAAACAAACCAAAAGCCTAAAAACACTTAACTTCTTGCTGGGCACTTCTAGTTCATGTATAATCTTAGCTACTCAGAAAGCAGAGATCAGGAGGAGCACAGGTTGGAAGACAGCCCAGGCAAATAGTATGCAAGACCCTATCTCAAAAACACCCATCGCAAAAAAGGGCTGGTGAACTGGTTCAAGGTGTATGCCCTGAGTTCAAGCTCCAGTAGTTCAAGCTCCAGTACTACCAAAACAAAACAAAAACCAAACAAAACACTAACTTCCTTCTGAGAAGCATCTGCTGAATAAGACTATAATATATATCTGTTAAGTGCTGTGTCTTTCCCCTGCACAAAATAAGGTTGTTTCTTAAGTATATCTATTTGCTATTCCCCTGCAGCAGCCAGGTATGCCTCGTCTCATACAGGTTGTAAAGGGGGGGGGAGGGGAATCTGAAAACACTAACTTTCTTCTTCTGAGAAGCATCTGCTAAAAAAAGCCAACTCTCTAACAACATGGCTATGACAGACACCAGAAAAAGAGCTAAGACAAGATTAAGGGCATCAGATTTTCTCAAGCACAGATGCTCCCCAAAACACCCAAAGAATGAAGGGTCTGATCTGACATCAAACACTTACATCTTCAGCCCAGTCTTCTGTTGTCCATTCCTCCACAGAATTCTTCCAGGTACCTGCTGATAAATAAAAAAGTTTACAACACAAAGTCAAATATCATCTTATTCCTAATGATAATTTATTATGTACTATGCAAGGAAATAAAATCACCTCATTAACAATTTAGTTTACAATCCAAGAAATGAGGTTTTTAATCTATTCTCAATAAAATCAGTCATTTTCAAATGCAACTTAGCTAACAATATAAACAAGCTAAAATTAATGTCTCAAAATTATTTTTCCTCAACACAAATAATACCTAAGCAATCCTTCCATGAGTTTAAAAAAATATGAATTCGTCACAAACACATTTAACAATGGGTTAATGCTTTTGATATAATTTTAAATAGAGGGCTGGCAGAGTGGCTCAAATAGTAGCACCTGCCTATCAAGCATGAAGCCCTGAGTTCAAACCCCAGTACCACCAAAAATCTATTTATAAAATATTTAAAATATCCTATGTTAGGTCAAAACCAGCCTGGACTACATAGTGAGTTTGAGGCCAGCATGCATTATATAGTGAGACCCTTCCTCCAAATCAAAATCTCTCCCCAAAAAACATGAAAGCAGACAAAAGAAACACTGCATAGCCTATAGGGAAAACCGGCCAACAAAGATAGTTATAAGCAGAAAAAATACAACATAAAAAAGTGGTGTGTCAGGAAATAAAGAGAAAGCCCCATGTTAGGAGCAAGAGGCAAACTATTGTAGTGACCTGCCATACCTAAACATACTACAAAAACACCAGATATCAGCTATAAAACACGGAAGTTCAGGTGCTCAAGCTATTTTGGAATATTCAAATTTTCAAGTAACAATTAAGCCCACATTACTAATTTTAGACCTACTGAGGGGCTAGGGGTTTGGCTCAGGTTGTAGAGCAGCTTCCTAGCAAGTATGAGAACCCTGAGTTCAAACCCCACTACCTTCCCCTCCAAAAAACTCAAAACAGATCTATGGATCTATACCCCAAAGCATAAAGGAAAATATTAATGACATTATTTTCAACTTAAAGCAATAAATTTGAGATGAATGCTGCCTGAGGATGTAGCTCAGTACTTGCCTAGCATGAGAAAGGCTCTGAGGTTCAACCCCCAGCACTGCAAAAAAGTTAATATAAAATTTTGAGGGTTGGTGGAGTGGTTCAAGGGATAGAGTGCTGGCTTAGCAAGTGTGAGGTCATGAGTTCAAACCTAGTACAGAAAGAGAGAGCGAGAAAAGCTTTTGTGTCATGGAAGCACATGCCTGTAATCCCAGCTATTCTAGAGGTGGAGGCAGGATCATGAGTTCAAGACCAGCCCAGAGAAAGTTATTGAAACCCTAGCTCAAAAAAACAAAACAAAACAAAAAGCTGAGGCTGGCTCATGAGGTAGAGTACCTGCCTATCACATGCAAGGCCCTGGGTTCCATCCCCAGAAGCAAGAAACTAAAGGAAAAACAATGATAAAAACTCTGTGGTCCCTTCAACTCCCATCTATAAAACCCTTCCAAATGTTTATGAAACTGTTGGGAAAATATAGCTTATAAATTTCTCTTTTATTAACTAGTCTTTAATGAAACCCCTTTGTATAATCAATTAATACATGCTATTTAAAAATTTTTTTATTAACCAGTTTTTTTGCACATATTGTTATGTTTTTATCCAAAATGTGCCTCTTTACTTCAATTTCCTTTGGAAGACAAGGTAGAACAAATTAGTTTTATCTCACTATTAACTAGTTGTGATAAAAACAGGAGACATTGTTAAGAATTTTCTGAAGATTTTTTGTTGTTGTTGTTTTTTCCCAGTGCCCTGAAAATGGATGGTAAATGCCCTACATCCCAGCACTATAAATTCATAACTATGTAAAATTTTTAAATAAACCATTCATACCTTTCAGTCCATAAGAGCCTTTGTTTGGCAGATCCTGAGCTACAATGTGAGACTTAGCAGCCATTTCTGTGGATCAATGTAAAAGGGAAAATTTTAACACAGCAAAACAATTAAAGGACTCATAAAAGCAATTGGCCAACATGCAAAACAGAGAAGCTGTCATAGCTAAGTACAGTAGTCCCTCATCATCCATGGTGGTTTCAATGTCTACAGCCAATCAAGGTACAAAAAAATTAAATGGGAAATTCCAGAGAAATAAACAGAAAAATGGAAGGACTACCACATTCACATGACTTTTACTATGGTACACTGTTCTAGTTGTCCCACTACAGTACTGTTAATCTCTCACCGTGCCTAATTTATAAATTAAAAGCCCTATCATAGATATGCATGTATAGGAAATTACTGTGTATGTATAGGATTAGGTACCAGGTACAATTTCAAGTATCCCCGGGGGGACATAGACAAGTTGGGAAACTCACTGCAGTACAAACTGGGACAAGACACTGTGACTGAGGCTATGAAGATTAAGACAGATGGTTTTTGCATTTCCCATGGTTATGAAGCTCCTTTCTCACTTGAGCTTCCCAAACTATTTTTAAAGCAAATTCATAAATTACCATTCTAATTCATTAATTATCTTTGTAGCTTGGTAATATGAGTCTCCTTTGTATTAAGAATGGATTTGAACCCTAATACTGAGGGAGGTTGGGAGGGGAGAGAGAGAGAAAAAAAGAATGGATTTTTGTAGGCCAGGCATAGTGGTTCATGCCTATAATTCCAGCAATATGGGAGGTACAGAATGGAAGGATCAAAGTTTGAGGCCAGCCAGGTCAAAAAGGTAGTGAGACCCCAGCTCAACAAATAAGTTAGATGTCTTGGTATACACCTGTAATCCCATCACATAAGAGGCTGGGGCAAGAGAATCACAAATTTGAGGCCAGCCTATGATAGAGTGAAACCCTGTATTAAAAAAAAAAAATCCAGCCATGGTACCACTATTTAAAAGATACAGATAAGGAGGATGGTGGTTGAGGCCTGCCACAGGCAAAAACACAAGACCATATCTAAAAAATTAAGCAAAAAAAAAAAAAGGGTGGCTGGAACATGGCTCAAGTGGTAGAGCACTTGCCTAGCATTCAAACCTTAGTACCATATTAAATTAAAAAAAATTGTGATTCTTACACTGTCAAACATAACATATTTCTGAAATTATAAGGCTGAGGACTGGGCTCAGAATTCTGTCAACAAGACTAATGTCTTTTTCTGAGGCTCCTGGATAAATGGCCAGAACTCTATCACCTGATGATACCATTCCACTATGTTTTAAGACAAACTCATTTTGGTTAACTAAATGTTTTTCCAGCAAGAAATCTGCTATTCCAAATAGGAACAAGAGATATGAAAGAGATAGAAGAGAGGGAGAAGAGAAAAACAGAGCAAGAAAAATGGTAGCTAGCTAACTAAGCATTTTGCTTCAACATTAGATTTTTAAAAAATCAGCAGAACACTAAAGCCACTATAAACAGCACATACAGAATTTTGTTTGGATGGGTTTTCATTCTACTTTCATATACACCTAGGAGGGGGCTTATAAAATCTTAAGGTAAAGATGTACTTCTGCATCAGGAATAAAAGGTCCAGTTAGTCCACAATTCTCATTAGCACTTGGTATTATCAGTTTTCTCTGAAAGTTGCTTTAATAATTGAGTGATGTAAGCTTATGTCTGTAATTTGTATTTCCCCAAGGACTAATGATAATGAGTACATTTTGAGGACTTACTATCCAGGTATCTTCCTTTGTGAAATGTGCATTTAAATCCTTTACTATTTTTATTATTTTTGTGATGGGTTTTTTCAAGATAGGGCCTGGTAAAGTATTTGCCTGGGCTGGCTTTGAACTGCAATCTTCCTGATCTCTGTCTCTCGAGTATCTAGGATTACAGGCATGAACCACCAGCGCCTGGTAAAAGCTCTCTTTGGGTTTTGTTTGTTTGTTTGTTTTGGGGGGGAGGGGCGGCAGGACTGGGGTTTGAACCCCAGGCCTCACTCTTGCTAGGAAAGTGCTCTACCCACTTGAGCCACTCCACCAGCCCGTATTTTCATTAATTTTTTTTTCCTTTGAAATGGTGTTAAGACTCATAAAGTCTCCCAGAATGGTCACATCTCATATAACAATATTAAAGGCGGAAAACTTATTTGCATAATGCATTATATAGTTCTATACGATTTCTTATTATGATAAAACATACATCACATAAAATCTTTTTTTTTCCTTTTTGTTTTTTGAGACAGGGTAGCTATATATAGCCCAGGCTGGCCTCAAACTCTCAATCCTCCAGACTCAGTTTCTTGAGTATGACCATGCCTAGCTAAAATTTATCATTTTGACTATCTACATAAGTGTACTGATTTATGCAGATTATCTTATTCAGCCACCTTTCAGACATAGAGAGGAAAATCAAACCTATGATTAATGAGGTTTTTGTTTTGTTATTGTTGTTTAATTGGGGATTAAACCAAAGATTTTAGAATGGTAGGCAAGTGCTATAATAATTGAGTCATGACTTAAGGCACTTCTTTGGGCTCATTTGTTTGTTGTATTTTTGTATCTGAGATAGGATCTCACTGCATTTGCCCTGCCCAAGCTAGCCTCAGTCTTGCAATCCTCCTGCCCCACTAGCTGGGATTACAGATGTGTAACACCACACCCAGCAATGAGATTTCTAAGCAAGAAAAGAAACACTGGTGTCAAGAAAAGAGTAGTCACCATCAGCACCCTTCATCTATGTATGAGAACATAAAACATTTAAAAACCAGCCCTGAGAGAAACAAAACACTTACCAGGTCCCTCAGCTGCACCGTTCTGAGCAGCTTCCCAAACTATGAGTTTTGTTCCACACCCATTTGTAGATGTAGAATCTGAAAAGTCCGCAGGATTAAATGTCCTGGAGTTTTAAACAAAGAAAAGAACAAAGGCAAATGAAGCAAGCCAAAAAGCTACAAAATTAACGAACACAATCTTCTGAACTAAATTAGCCCAGTCCCTTCAAACAGCCACTGTAAAAGGCTTCTCTCTGCTTCTAGCCATCAGAATGCAGATCTTCTAAAATGCAGAGGTTGCCTAGGGATCTCCCATACTTTCTTTCATTTCATCTGATCCTAGAAGTTCTTTATTTCCTCCCCAATTTCTTCAAGAATCTAGTGATCATTCAAAAGGGTATTGTTCAACTTCTGTGTTTATGTAGTTTCTCTTGCTTTCCATACACTCTTGTATTATGGCCTTATTTTCCCTAAATGTGGTACTATACATCCTAAAGCAGTTATGGAATCTTTCAAGCCAAAATAAGGGCACTAGTAGAAAGTCCCACTGAAAATGGAAGTATCAACAGTCAATAAGTCAGAATCCAAGCTTGGCTTTGAGCCTTTTCACCACAATTATACCCTCCGTTATATATGGAAACAGTACACGGAATAATAAAATGTTTTGTTCAGCACCTCTGCATATTTTCATTAACAGTGAAAATCCATAATGCGTCATGATTCAGAGGGTCAACACGGGCCAAGAATAAATAAATACTAAGTTCATACAAAAGAATATAGAGTAAACAGAAAAATCCACAAACCATCTATAGGCTGAGCTTAAGATATTTGAGTGCTTGTCTCAGTTTTCTCCCTGTATTTTCAGTCTTATTTTCTCCCCAGGAAGCTCAGGCAGATGGAAGAAGGCATCATTGCCTCTAGAAGAGACTCACTCCAAGAGTGCTGCCCAAAAGCTATGAAGAGACAAAGGGTTCTTGCCAGAGTCAACTCCCTTCCTTCCTTCCTTCTGTGACTATTTTCAAAATATGGGTTCTATACATCTTTTTAAAAACAATGTTTTCTAAAAATCTAGAGGAAACTAAAGTTTCACAGAAAAAAAGAAAAACCCAGAAACAATAATAACTACTATGCGCCAGGCATGGTATGGCAGCAAACACCTGCAATCCCAGCTACTCGGGACAAAGAGACCAGGAAAATCAAGACTAAGGCCAGCCCAGGAAAAAGTGAGTAACCCCCCAACACACACCTCATTTCAGCCAACAAGCTGGGTGTATTGGAGAAATCCAAGTTACAAGGGCCCTAAGAAAAACTACAGAAGCAATCTGAAAAAAAAATAACTAAAGCAAAATGTGTTGGGGCTATAGCTCAAGTGGCAGAGTGCCTGCCTGGAAGCACCAGGCCCTAACTTCAAACCTAACAATCAAATCAATCAATCAATCAATCAATCAATAGCACAACATAACATAACTGCTAATTACAGCATATATTTTGTATGTGCCTCTTTCATTATTGTTGGATTTACCAGCTCTTGTGCAGGGGCTTTCAACTAGAAGTAATTAGGTACACACACAAATCCCCCACATCCCAGGAAACATTTGGCAATGTCTAGAGGCATTGTGATTGCACAGCTTCAGGAGGGGTGCTACTGGCATGTACTAGAAAGAGGAAAGAGATGATGCTAAAAAATCTACAATGAATAGGACAACCTACCACCCTGGTAAAGCATTATCCAACCCAAATTTTCAGCAGGGCCAAGGCTAGAATCTCTGCTCTAATGCCTACTGAAACATCAGTGTTGCTTGTACTATTTTACTCTTTGGTATATAAAACATCTGATTAATCAGGATAAATAAATTGGAGACAGAACAGAGGTAGAAAACCTGGAGTAACAACTAGGAAAGGAAATAACTACAAAAACAGGATGGCAGTGACTTACCCCATGCTCTGGGTTGAGAACCTTCCTGCCCCTCTCCCTCTGCCACGCCCAAATCCTTTAAAATAAACAAATAAACAATTGTAGTATTACTACTACTTATATCCTAAACAGTCATACTTCTATTAACATCTTCATCCTATTCTCACTACCCAAACAGAATCATCTTTGTTTCTAACACAACTACCAGGTGTACCTTTTCAAAGGCTAGCAAACAATCTAATTGTTAGTGTAATGTTTGTGGTATGTGGCAGCTTAACAATGGCAGGCTATATTATAAAATAGCTTGTGTCTTTTAAAATCAACTAGTGAAAACACCATAATAAGTCACCACTATAAAATGAAATAAATTTTCTTCAGCACCTCTCCATCCTAAACTAAGAGTCAAAGACCTAAATGTAAATATAAAAGCTAAAACTATAAAACTACTGTTGGAACACACAGAGCAAAAGCTTCACAATACTGAATTTGGCATTATGTGTTTGACAGTGATTTCTTGGATATGACACCAAAGGCACAAACAACAAATGAAACAAAGACAAACTGGATGTTAAGAAAATTAAAACTTTTGAATATAATCAAGTGACACTATTAGCAGAGTAAAAACAATAATCCATGGAGTGTAAACCACATATGTGCTAAGAGTAACATGTAGAATATAGACATACAAAGCTTCTAAAACTCAACAAAGTTGGGCACCAGTGGATCAAGTTCTAAGTCCTGAGTTCAAACCCCAGTACCACCAAAAAAAGACCTTAAAGTTTATGTTACCTTTTTCGCTACACTCTAACCTTACAAAGAAACCCCACAGAGAATTCTAAACAGCCCTATTAAGGCACTGTACCTTAAAGAAAACACATATTAAAATATCACCAACAACACAGAACATGTTTCTGTAGAGTAATAAACACCATGTTATGTGCCCTCTAGTTTTACTCTCTCACTGTCACACAGCATAAGGACAGGAACCATTAAATAAGATTCTAACAAGAGGATCCTCAAATAAGATTCCAAGAGTAAAGTCAAAATAAATAACTGAGCAGCCAGAGGGTCAGTAAAAAGAAAACCAATATAGATCAAAATCTCAAAGATGTAGCCCCAAAACATACATGTCTCACTAAAATTAAACAGCACCTCATTCACCCCACAATTAACTTATGTGAGTACGTACTGTTCTTGCTAATAAATTGACTTAAATCTCTCATCTGACTTGTCCTTAAATTCTTTTCTGCGGTGAAGTCAAAAAAGACTATGTCAACCTCAAGAATCCCCTTGTGACTCCCTTTATCACAGGGACAAAAAGAAAAGAAACTAAAAATGGTGGTTCATCAAAAAATTTTACATAGAATTACCATGATCCATCAATTTGACTTCTGGATATGTGTCCATATACAAAATTAAAAACAAGGTCTCAAAACCGTATGATCCCACATTTTTAACAGCATCATTTATAAAAGTCAAAAGGTAAAAAAGGGCTGAGGGGATGGCCCAAGTCTTAGAGCACCTGCCTAGCAAGTACAAGGCACCAAATTAAAATACCAAAGTTATCAAAAGAAAAAACAAAAAGTACAAAAATCTCATGTGTTCACTGACAGATGACTAGATAAGCAAAATGTGGTATGTCCATACAAAAAATATTAGTAAGTCTTCAAAAAGGCAATTCTGGCCAGGTGTGGTGGTGCACACTTGTAATCTCAGCTACTCAGGACACAGGAAGGAGGACAATGGTTCAAAGTCAGCCTGGCCAAGAAAGTAAGCAAGACACTACCTCAAAAATGAGCCAGAGCCTGGTGTCAGTGGCTTACACATGTAATTTTAGGTACTCAGGGGGCAGAGATCAGGAGGATCACGGTTCAAGGCCAGGCTGGCCAGTTTGTGAGACCCTGTCTCGAAAATACCCACACATAAAAGGGCTGGCAGAGTGGCTCAACTGGTACAGTGCCTGCCTAGCAAACGTTACACCTTGAGTTCCAACTCAAGTACTACAATCAATCAATCAATCAATCAATAACATCAGAAAGTAAGGACCAACAATTTTTTCAGAATACACTGTCATGCTTACTCAAGAGTTCAGTAAAGCAACAGCCTACCAAACATTTTCTCCTAGCTCATTCTAGCTTACCTCTACCACGGGCTCGCTTGCTGCGGTCTGAAGGCTTGTCCCCTTGGTTGCAGTCAATTCCATTCTCCTCACCTCTAACTAATGGGGGAAAAACGTAGAGAAATTTACTTTCTGTTTTCAAATCTTTGCACATAACCTTACCAGACACCTACAAAAACATGTACAGAACAGGAAAAAAATGAAAACTTAAAAACAGTTTAAAATTTAAACAGTGAGTTCAGAAACCAGAATAAAATGCAGCACAACAAGCTGAGTGGCAACATTATCTTATATAATTCACAGTGTACATTCTTAAAAGAAATTAAATATTATTTAACTATTCTTTCATATGGATATATGGATTTGCCTCTCCTAAAGCAAGAAAACTTGCTTCACAAAAGCACTGACAGCTCAGTCGTAGAGCATTTGACTGTAAAACACCACTTTCATTGTGTAACTATGTAATATATCACAGAATTTGTTCATTAGTTAAGTTCAAAGCCTGGAAAGAAACAATAGCAAAACAGCAATATCAAAGTAATACTGGTGAAACTGGGGTCTGAACTCAATACTTCACACTTTCTAGGCAAGTGCTGTATCACTTGAACCACAACTCCAATCACAAATAAGTTTTTCCATGATGCTATCCAGAAGATGCCAACATCCATCTCTTCTTTTTCTTACTATATTGGCATTAGTGACTCTATATATACAGAAATTCAAGAGATATTGACATCACTTGCTCCCTCATCTACTTTTGTGCCTCCTTCCTTGTAATGTATGTAAATATACTAGGTCATCCCCATAATCCTCTTTTCTCTTTCAGCCTTTTTTTTTCCTCAGAGCATAGTTTCTACATAACACTATTAAAGTAGTATATGAGAGCTGAAAAGTGTAGCTGAGTGTTAGAGCACCACCTTAGCATGCAAGAGATCCTGGGTTTAATCCCCCACACCACCAAAAAATATATATATTATAAAATACATATTTTATAAAGTATCAGGTTGGCAGAGTGGCTCAAGTAGAAAAGTGTCTGCCCAGCAAGTATGAGGCCCTAAGTTCAAATCCCAGTACCCACACCCCTCACACACACACACACACACACACAATTCATAAAGTTTAGGTACAATGTTTTGGGGGGAGGGCATAAAGAAAGGGTGAAGGAGGGCGAGTGTGATGGAAGTACTATGTATTCATTTAGGAAAATGGAATAATGATACCTGTTGAAACTATTCTAAGAAGGTAGTGAGGGGGGATAAAGAAGAAAGCTGGAAGGGGTGATCTAACTAAGAAATCATAATATACCCCCGGTAAAACTATAATATACTAAGAAATCAATAAAAGAGAAAAAAAGAAAATAAAGTATCTTACATCTCATTCTTACTGTTATATTCCACTCTACCTTCACTAAAAAATACTTGGTGCAATGGCACACACCTATAATCCCACCACCTGGGAGGTGGAGAAAGAATTGCCAGTTTGCCAGCCAGGGCCTCAGAGAAAGACCCTGTAACTCATAAAAAAATAAGAGTGGGGATGTAACTCACTGGTAAAGCATTGGCTCTGGGTTTGATCTCCAGCACTGAAAAGAATCAACAGACTAGTTTGTGAAGCCCTGAGTTCAAACCCCTAGTACCACACAAATACACGCACACAGAAAAGAGTATCATTATATGCAATGGTTCACATCTGTAATCCCAGCTACTCTGAAGGAAGAAATCAAGAGGATCATGATTTGAGACAACCACAAGCAAAACTTAGACCCCATCTCAACAAATAAGCCAAGCACAGTAGCAAGAGCTAATGATCCCAGCTATGCAGGAGGCTGTAGGAGGATCACAGCACCGGACAAAAACATGAAACCCTAGCTGAAAAATAATTAAAAGCTAAAGAAAGACTGGAGGAGGGGAGGAGGAGGGACATGGCTCAAGTGGTAGAAAGCCTGCTAGCAAGCAGAAGGCCCTGGGTTCAACCCCCAGTACAATCAAAAAGAGGGTATTTACTGCAGCTAGAATGGTGGCACATGTCAGTAATCCCAGCACTTGGGAGGCATTGTGAATTCAAGGCCAGGAAAGGCTACATAGAGAATCTGAAGCCAGCCTGGACTACATATTGAGACCATGTCTCAAAAAACAAACAAAAAGAAAACAAAACTGAGTATTCAGTACATACTCAATTATCAGTGGAATAAATGAGCTACCAAAAATCTCCAGTTTGAGTAAACAGTGCCTAAGCCTAGGTCCACTGGAAAGTATTCAGAAAGTCCTGCCAGCAACCTTCCTCTTAAACAAACTCTTGCTTATACTATGAATATCCCTAAATGGGTAAGGAAAAAAAGCTTGATTGTGAATCAACACCCCTCCTAACACATCATTAATTATAAAAAGTGCACCTGATTTACAATTGAAGGTAGTTTTAAGGCACACATACAAGCAACAGCCCAGGTAAGCACTGATAGCTTCTAATAAACGCTCAGTTGCAGCTCATTACTAGTATTAACTATCACATGAACAATTCTGCAATGAGAAAGTGATTTATGGCAATTCCTTCAAATATTCTTTCACTTTTTTCAGAATGTCTGAAAATTCACAAAAGTTGAGAAACCCAACACTGATAGTTCATACCTGTAACTGTAGCTACTTAGGAGGCTGAGATCAGAAGGACAGTAGTTCAAGGCCAGCCTGGGCAAAACAGTTTCCAAGACCCCATCTCCAAAAAGCAACCAGAGCAAAATGGACTGAAGGTGTGGCTCAAGCAGTACACAGCCTGCTTTTGCAAGGACAAAGCCCTTAGTTCAAGCCTCAGGCAGCAACAGCAGAAAAAAAAAAAAAAAAAAGTTGAGGAAAAAAAATAGGTACTTACACTCTCTGCCACGGTTGCCACCTCTTCCTTTCCGGTTGTTTCCACGTCCACGACTTGCTTCTCTCTCATTTCTCTTCTCTCTATTCTCTTTGTTTTCTGAACTCTCCTTTCCAAAATTCTTTTTCTTTCCTCCTACAGTCTCCCATGAAGTCTGTCAAAAACAAGAGTTCTTATTCAGAGTGGTCATTCAACATACGCACAATCACCAAGGACACACACATGACTCTTCCAAACCTAAGTACAACTTGCAGTTATTTTCAGTATCATTTTAATTTAATTATACTTTCCTGATAAGAAAAATAAACATTTACTAAATTTCATATATTGTGCACAATATACAGTGCACAAATAATCACAAGTATTAGCTGACTTGACAATTTACTATATTTTTCCATCACAGAACTTTTTCCTATGCTGACTTAGGAATAAAGTTAATGTTACTCCCTCAAACTCCTACTCTATGCCACTCTACCTACCTCAGTAGTAAGCCTTAATCCTACTTAAACACAGATTAATTCAAAGAATACCTCAAGAAGTAGGCCCATCCTACTCAAACATAGATTAATACGAAGAGTACAAAATTACTTAGAATGATGCCCTAAAAATTTCAGGAGTACAACTTGGTCTACTCAGTAATCTGAAGTAATTACCTACAAGAATTTAATGGTAGGTGAATAAAATTTGGTTAATTTTTTTTAACATAAGCATTCAAAGAACTGTTCTAATAAGTGATTTATAAAACTTTCCTTCTTGGCTGGCAGAGTGGCTGAAGCGGTAAGAGCACCTGCCTAGAAAGCTTGAGGATCTGAGTTCAAACCCCAGTACTGCCCAAAAAAAATCTTTACTCTCCCACTCCTTCAGTGATGTCAACAGCTACCAACACACTTACTAGAAAGAAGTAAGTATAATAATGTAAAGAACTGATACCTTCAGACTATTCTGTAATGAAAACACAGCATTATGATGAAACAGAAAGTTCAAGTTGGGTGTCAATAGCTAACACCCAGCTACTTGGAAGGCTGAGCTCAGGAGGACTGAGGTTCGAGGCTAGCCAACGCAAATAGTTCCAAAGACCCCCATCTCCAATATAACCAGAGCAAAATGGAGTGACAGTGTGGTTCTAACGAAAGAGTGCCTGCTTTGCATGTGCAAAGAAGTCCTGGGTTCAAATCCCATAAATTAAACAAATAGTACAGTACAATTTCCATGTAGAATCTAAATTAGGGCTGACAACAGCCTAGTGTGGATTCAATTCCATACTTCCTAAAATCAAAGGGATGAATGCTAATGTGCCAATACAATCACCAAACTTATAACTAGAGTAAAATTTTTAAAAAGGATTGGGGATGTAACTCAGTGACAGAGTGACTGCCAGAAATGTATGAGGTCCTGGGTTCGATTACCAGTACCAGGAAAAATTATAAAACGTATTTGTTTACATCTGTGTGTGGTGGTAGTGGTGGTGGTGGTGGTGGTGGTGTGTGTGTGTGTTTATGTGTGTTAAGCTGCCATGACTATTCACACATAAGTATATGGACATACAAGCAAATCCTGGTTTTCAGTTAGTTTAGAAGTACAAGTAATAGTTAGAAGTGATAACTGAAGTGAAGAAACATGAGCAACGTGGAGCCAAAAGAAGTTTTTTAGGTGGTAAAAACAAACTATATAAGGCTATAAACACCAGGTTAGTGCTCTTTCTGGAACTTAAATATATAATGTTTGTTTACCATGTTAAAGTCACTGAGTCAATACTCAGCACCCTCATATACACAAGTGGAAAAAAATACAGATAAGCAGCCACAATCCCCTTTATCATAATCTCCATCCAAAGGGAAACTTGAAAACACAAACTGGAGATAAATCTTAGCACTGCAAATCATTTAAGAATACTTACGGTGTCTGAATTCCCTTCCAGCAATATATTAATAGCTTTGTTGACATCTCCATTACAATCATGTAGAGCCACTATTGATTCATCCTGATTTTTCCCAGTCACTTCCATAAGCTATTCAAAGTATTGGAAAATGGTTAGGGGGAAAACAAAACATGGCAGTTTATATTAATTTTGATATTATTTTTTATAAATACAGAAATTATACATACCTTCTACATAAAGATGACCTTTTCCAGACTCTAGAAGGTTTACAATCTGAGAATGTGTTAACTCGGATTTTGTTGGCCACCTCATGTCCTTTCACTAATACTGGTAAACTATGAACTATAAAGACACTACCTCCAGGCTGACCAGGTATCAGATTATTAATCAGAACCACATACATATACACATACCAACTTTCTCAGAATACCCAGTATCTGGCATCTGTCTGCTCAAACTTAGTTCAATGGCGTAAGATTCCCAACATTTTGAACTGCCAAACATGAAGTGGGACTACATAAACCACAGGGCTGCCATCCACAAAAACTCCAGTCCAAATGTTTTCCTCAGAGCCAACCTTCTATGTGCTGGTATCACTGCTTAGAACACGCCACACACAAACTTAACTACAGCATCTAAAAAGTAGATTCTGTTGCTGTTCACAAACTATCCTAGGCATATTTTCTCAATACAGAGCAGTATGTCTGAAGTAAACAAAAGAAATCTCAGTCTGTTTTTGTGTTTTGTTTTGTTTTGGGAGACAGGATCTTGCTATGAAGTCTAGGCTAGCCTCAAACTCACAATCCTGCTTCTGCCTCCCAAGTACCGACTTAACAGACATGTGCCACCATACCTGGCATCAGTCCATTCTCTTTAATAAGGAAAACTAACTATTTAGCATTCCCCTGCTGCCCCTGGAAAAAAAATCAGACTAGGCACAAGTCTCTCAAGTAACAGTAAACAAACCTATGATTTAAGTATCTATTCTGTTTTAATTTTATTAATTATTTTTTAACTAATATCTGAAAGACTGGCTCCCAACATTTTAAGAGATTCTTGCCTATTTTCACAATGCTAATTAATAGTAAAGCATGCCTAGAACTCAGGTCTCCTGACCTAATAATCATCACTGTATCATTTGGCCTCCATTTATTTTCTTCTGTTCATTTTATTTAGCAGCAAAAGTTCTATCTATCTATGGCTTCCCAGTGCTTCAATGTTTGGCTATCTACTAGTAATGCCATATTTTTATCAATTATCTGTACCAACAATCTGCCATATGCAATTGTCAAGATGCACAGTCAGAATCAAAACTTCACCACTGATTGGATGTGTAATAGAACTAAAGTTAGAATTTCACTCTCTGAACACCTGGACAAATAAATGTTCTATTTTGTAAACCTGCTATGATATTGAGATAACAGGCAATAAAATATGTAGAAGTACTCCTCAAGCTATACTTCGATCTCATTCCAAAGAGTAAGGAAAGATCTCTATGACCTTTGCAGGAAAGAAAGGGAGGGAGGGAGGTCAGGGTCTCTGTTGCTCAGGCTGTTCTTATTAAACTCCTAGGTTCAAGTGATCCTCCTGCCTTACCCTCTTTAAGTAGCTAGAACTATACACAGTCTCCAGTCCACTGCAATCAAATGAGTTCTACAATTGGTTTTTTTTTTTTTTTTTTTTTTTTTTTTTTTTTGGTGTTACTAGGGTTTGAACTCAGGGCCTCACATTTGCTAGGCTGTTGCTCTACCACTTGCATCACTCCACCAGTCCCAAGTTCTACAATTTGTAGTAACTTATTTCCATGCCTTTCATAAAAATTACTACGAGCCTGTTGTCAGTGACCCTAAGTAAAAAAAAACAAAGCAACTTTACATAGTAAAGCAGTACACTGTGGGACATACACTAGTAACTCAAAAAGATTCTACTGTCAAGAGAATGAACATTTCATTTGGCTCCCAATGTATTTCATCACTAGTCTGAATGCCAATACACAGGTAAGATATCTAAGAAGGTATTTTAAAACCACAATCTCTAGTGAAAATCTTTTAAAAACAATAAGAATAGATTACAAAAATCATTAATATCCTTTGCCGGAAACATACCTGTTTAACTTTAGCTTCAAAATCTGAATCATTCTTATCAAAGATTACTTGAGCTAGACGCATCTGTTCAGCTGTTGCCTGGAAAGCACATACAATTGGTTAAGATTTGAGGAACAAAAATGTAAGTTAAATGATAAAATATGATTCAAATGATAAAGTTCTTAAGCAGCAAACACTATAAGGTTTATATTACTAGAAATACAGTAATAGAAATATTAACTAAAAACATCTAAAGGATTCTGAATTTAGGGCTATCAACTATATACAACCTGCTTCTGTAAGAAAAATAAGCATCAAATAAAATAGCAAAAAGCACCCATTCCTTCAGCAAAATGACTTAAAGTTCCAATCCTTCATTGGTTATGTGGCTTATTTGGATTTTCTTTCCCTCAAGGAGGTGGGGAAACCAGCAAAAAAGAAAGCAGAAGAACAAGAAACAATGGAAACTGCCAAAGAAAAACATCCAACAACACTCTACAGCTAACTCTAAAATGGTATCCTTATCAACTCTGATAAGTAAAGGCTACATTTATCTGAATGGAAAATGTTTTTAAAGTTATCCCTTTTTTAAAATCCACAATTTTAGAAGTTCTTAATTTAAAAAAAAAAAGAGAGAAATTTCATTCTTTTTTTTGTTGATGGGACTCAGTCTGAATTCAGGGCTTACTCATTACAAAGCAGCTACTCTACCTCTTGATCAACACCACCAGTCCCATCCTTTTTTCCAGTGGAAACTTTCAAACATAAAATTAGTCACCTCTATAGAAAATACTCTTACACTTACTTTCTTCATTTAAAATCTTTGTTTTCATAAATCCAATCACAGAATTTTTAAGGTCTCCTTTTATATTAATGGCAATGAAGAAGTAATACTATTTTGTGAAGCACTCAATGGTAATGTACCCACATTTGGGGTTTTTGTTGTTGTTTTTGGATGTAAGCGGGTTTGTCTTTTTTGAGACAGGGTCTCCCTATTAGCCCAGGCTGGCCCCCAACTCTTAATCCTCCTACTTAAGCCTCCTGAGTGCAAAAATTACAGACATGTGGCCACCACATCCAGCTCCCTTTTGTTATGTTAGGTTTTTTTTTTTTGGTTTGGTTTTTGCAGTGCTGGGATTTGAAGTCAGGGCATAAACCTTGAACCACTTCATCAGCCCTTTCTTGTGATGGGTTTTTTTCAAGATAAGTTCTCTAGGTCTATTTGCCTGGGCTGGCTTCGAACCACAATCCTCCTGATCTGCCTCCTGAGTAGCTAGGATTACAGGCATGGAGCCACCAGTTGCCTGGCTTGTTATCTTAATTTTGACACATGTACCATGAATGTTGCAAGAAGAATTTAGGCAGGAGATACATAGGAACTCTCTGTTCTATCTAATAAATCTTAAATTGCTTCAGAATAGTTTGTTTTTTAAGTTACCTCTCCTCACTAAAAGTCTGCATTAACTCCTAATACAAATACTTAAGAAGTTAAACAGTCAGCCAAATGTGGCATATGCCTATCATCCTAGCACTGGGAAGGCAGAGGCAGGTCAGTGAGTTCAAGGTCAGCCCAGAGGACAGAAAGGAGAAAAAGAAATGTCTACTAAATGCAGTAAGTAATTCCAGACTGGGGGCAGAAAACATGCTAACATGGATAGCACTGGAATAAATTACATTATTGGCATAATTGAAAAAGTGGAAATATGAACTGTAAAGAACATTGCAGCAATTTTGAATTTACTAAACTTGACATTTGAACTATGTTTATAAAGAAACAACCATGTTCTTAGGAAATATGTTAAGTATTAAAAGGTAAAAGGTTAAAATCTCTAGACCCACCAAAAAAAGGTAAAATCTAGCCTGTGGCTGTATATGCCTGTAATCCTAGCACTCAGGAAGCTGAGACAGAAGTATCCTGAGTTCAAACCTCGTCTGAGAAACACAGCAAGATTCTGTCTCAAAAAATAGTAATAATAATAATAATTAAAAGTAGAATATATTTAACATTCAAATGGTTTGGAATAATATATAATGTGTGTGTATACACAGCGCAGGTAAATATTGAAAGGGAATATGACTGATGCTACACAACTTTAAAAATTTTATAAAGGAGACACATTATATTCTCTATACTGTTATATTATTGCCAAAACCAAACACCCATGGACAACAACACAAGATCATGGCAAGAGAGCTCTTATAAAAACCTCAAAAGTATAAATGTGTGAAAAGATAACTACAAAAAAAAATACAAGATCCACATGGTTTCAATTTGCACCAAGCGAACAAAACAAACACCAGTCTATCTGACTTGTCAAAGATCAGGAAAATCCCAAGGAGCCAAGAAATAGTCCTTGCAAAGAAGGGCCAATTTTAGGTTAACTGCTGGAACTCTACAGTTACAACCACCTCAATAGCAAGCTAGTGGTAATGACTGCGCAAAGATTTAAAGAATGAATGACAGCCTACTACCCTAATCCCTTCAAACTAACCAGCCAGAGTTCCCATGATGAGAACAGAATCAAAATTGAGCAAAATATACAGGAAAGATAAAAAACAGAAAAGAGCCAGGAAATCACAAAAAGCAAGCCAACATAAAGGCATGAAGGGAGCTGGGGGTGTGGCTCAAGTGCTACAGCACCTGCCTAGTAAGCACAAGGCTCTAAGTTCAAACCCCATTGCTGGGTTAAAAAAAAAAAAAAAAAAAAACAAGAAATGAGGGAACTCTCTGAAGCCAACTTGAACAACTTGAAGGAAAAAAGAAAAAACCTTGAACAACATTGTCTAGTATAGGCCTATAAATACTCATCTCACATAAAAATGGGCAGAAAGAAAAAAGATCAAATCCCATACAAAGTTAACATACAGCAAAAGGAGCAAAGGCTAGGATAATGCCCCATTCCCAATGAAAGCACAAGAGAAACATGGTGAAGAACAAGATACACTGCCACCTTCTGTTTCAAATTGAGCTAAAAAACACTAAGCATCAAGAAAATGAAGACACTAATCAAGGAATCAAAAGACATCTGCTAGAAAAATAATGTAAATATTTTCCCAGGATGATCTCAAACCGCTGGCCTTAAGCAATCCTCCCACCTCAACTTCTTCAGTAGCTTCGACTACAGAAGCACAATACTGTACCCAGCTACTGGAGTAACCGTTAGGTAAAAAATGAAATTAACAAGAGGTAAAATAAAAAAGAAAGATCAGCCAGGCACTCGTGGCTCATGACTGTAATCTTAGCTACTCAGGAGGCCTGAGGTTCAAACCAGCCCCAGCAAATAATTAGCAAGACCTATATCAAAAACACCCACCACAAAAAAAGGCTGGCGGAGTGGCTCCCAGTGTATGCCCCAACTTCATACCCTACCATGGCCAAAAAAGAAAAATGAAAAAGGAATGTAAGAAAAATAAACAAGGAATCAAATATGGATGACAGGAAAATACAAGCTAACCTTGAGCTATAGGATAATACAATTCTCTGAAAAAGAGAAGTACAAAAACCAGTTACAAATTAACTAAAATTCAGGCAAGGCATGATGCCACATACCTATAATCCCAGCTACTTTGGAAGGGAAATTCTGGAGGATTATGGCATCATCATATGTACTAACTATAATTATAGTTTACAGGCCCTATTTAGATATCATGGACTGGTGCTTGAGCAAGGCTAATCTCACATATAATTCTAGCTACTCAGGAGGCAAAGAGTAGCAAGATCCCAACTCAACCAATAGCTGGACCTGGTGGGACATGCCTGATTTCCAGCTACCTGGGAAGCATAAATAAAATACCAGTTCATGGCTGGGCACTAGAGGCTCACGCCTCAAGGCAAGCAGGCAAATAGTTCAAGAAACTCCATCTCCAAAAAATAACCAAACCAAAACAGGCTGGCTCAAGCAGAAGAGTGCCTGCTTTACAAACATGAGACCATGAGTTCAAATCCTAGTCACACCCCCCCCCAAAAAAAAGAGCAATCCAAGCCAGTCCCAGCATAACCTTGAGAACCTGTCCTAAAATAGTCAAAAAGAGCTGGGGGCATGGCTCAATGCCTGCATAGCAGCATTCAAACCACATTACCACCAAATAAAAATTTAGAAAGATTGAAATTCGAGATTCCAAGATGGCGACTAGAGGGAGGAAGCAGAAACCATGCTTCCTAAAGTAAAATCTTGGAGAGATGCTGGAGATACACCTTACAGGAAAAACCACCAAGAAGAGGCAAAACTCTGACTCTTGCACACCCCCAGCCCACGCACAGCATCCCCACTCCACGTTAAATGGAGAAACCAGGAAGGCTCCTGGGTTGCCAGATGCCAGCTCCTACCAGCTGGAGAGACGCAGACCACCAGGTGAGCTAAGCAGCATGTGGTACTCCCACAGACAACCCTGGGCCACATCAGCAATGGCCCCCTGGACAAACCGACCCCCACCCAGGGAAAAAAGAGGAAAAAAAAAACTGAATAATAAACAACAACAAAAAAAAGATATGTAGCAAAGACATGTAGCAAAAAAAGACATGTAGCAAAGAGGGCGGGGGCCCTGAACACCGAAGGGGGAGGAGGGGCAATCCCTCATGGAACTGTAAATAAACAAGCCTGCCAGAGAAGGCATGTGTGTAGCAGCACCTCCATCAGTGTGCTTGGAGAGGGGAAAACTTGTAACAGTGGTCATCTTGCCCAGGAGAACTGTAAATAAACAAAGCCTGGGGGGCTAGGTGAGTGTTAAGCTCACTCCTGAGATCTGCAATCAACAAAGCCTCCAGCAACAGCTGGCTGACCGCAGCAGGCAGGTGAGCCGCAGCCTCAGATAGACATTCACAGAAATGTCGTCTCCTGACTCTTTTTTTTTTTTTTCTTTTTTCCTTTTCTCTTCCTTTGATGAGATGACTAAACTACAAACTCATGCTGAAAGACTTACTGAAACTTTACAGCATTTGAACTTGGGATATTTTGTTGTGTTTTCTTTTTGTTTGGTTGGGTTTTTTTTGGGGGGGTGGTTCCCCTTTGATGAGACAATGACAAAACTACTTCTGAGACACCATCTGCAGAATTGGAGGGTGAGGACTAACACCAAAATTATTAAGACTGAAACCTTAT